AATTCTGGTTGATAAAGCTAAACATTGGGGCCCTATTCTAATACCCTTCGTAAACACTTGACCAAAGTATAAATCCATTGTTTTGTTAGTAGCTGCTCTTTTATTTGCAGACAAATCAGGTTCAGAAATTCTTTGTGCATCAGGAAGGAAGACTGAGCAAACTGAGCATGAGCAGTAACTTTTTCTTGATAGTATTCAAATACCTGACACTTTTTAAGATTTTTATTTATTAATTAGTCTGAGTTTAATTCTCCAGGTAATATGAATAGGTTATATTATATATATTATTATATGGCTATGGTCACAATGTAATCTGTCTGATACACAACAACTCTCACATGTAAGTATCCGAAGTGCAACTTGAGTGTGGTAACTGGTAACTCAGTCTTGCAGAACAAGATGAAAGGCTGAGAATTGCAGGAAGTAGTAATCTTTTTGCCTTTGATGATAACAAAAAATAATTAAAACTTCCATTTTTAGTATTCTAAAATATTCCCCAAACATATTGAATAACCACTTAGAAAATTTCCCATTATTTAAAGCTTTTTCAGTTAAAAATCTGTTGATTTAGATATTTGTTTTTAATGAAAAATTCTACTTTAGAAAAATTTTGTTAAAATAACAATAATCTGATATCATTCTCTTCTTATGCTAGATAGCATCTATCCTTTTTCAGGTTAGAGGCTTAATTACAAAGTTTCAGAATGACTGAATTTTGTGCATTTCTGCACCAAATATCCAAAAGGCATTTATTGCAGAATGAAGAAGCTTGCCAATGTAGCCTTACAGGAAGTTATGTTTGTTCTCACCACAACAGAAACTGAAGTTCCCATGCCATCCTCATCAGACACCCAAGGTCTGTGGGAAAGCCTTGCTGCCAGGGCTGTCCTTGTGCCCAGGAGTGAGTCAGTCCCTGAGATGAAGATGCGTGACAGTCAGGGATGAGTGGTGTGTGCACAGGAGGAAGGGGGGCTGCTCTGGGCACCAGGAGGTGTCTGGGTCCTCTGGGTAGACATTTGAAGCAGAGTTTGTACAGCATTGAAAATGAAGGATTTCTTTCATAAACTTCATAAATGAAGTTAATTTCTTCCAGGTGCAAAAGCAAAGAAAATCCTGCTTTTCCCTTCTCGTCAAAATCAACCTTTCAGATGTCCCCTTCCAGTTCCTGTGTTAACTACTAATATCTGAGTCTCTTCTCCTAGGCAGGGGAGACCTGCTGACAGACTAGCATTTACATTCAAAGGCTTCTTCTACACAGCTGAATATTAAAAATTTCTCTCCAAGTGCTGGCTTCAAGCTGTCTGGTGCCTCAGCTTTGTGTCTTCTCCAGTTCATAACGCCTTACACTTCTGTTTATTCACCTTCCTCCTTCTGAAGATAAAGTGATTAATAAAGACTTCATAGTCTTTATTAGTTAATTAATTAATTAATTAATTAAATAGAATTAATTTTCCGTGCCCTCCACATGTTCAGCACATAACTCCAGCACTCTGAGTTTATGGCAAAAGTATGAAGCAGGCTCTTTTTCTGCTTTGATTTCCTCTAGCCATGTCACCTCCCCCAGTGCTAATCACAGCAGTGACCCCATTAACTAGATCATAATCTTTTTACCAGTCCCACAGAGAGTACTTTTAGTTGATGAAAAAGTTGGATGTTGCTACCTGGTGACTCAACATATGGTGGCATTTTTAACTAAAAAATTAAAACACGAGTCATTGTGACAGGCGGGTTGCAGCCACAGAATCATTTGCTATTTCCACCTAAATGCAAACAAAAACCCAATGAAAAAGCATTTATTGCTTACCATAAAACACACAGGATCATTCTCCCATACTCAAAATATCAGACTTTTTTGCTATTGCCTCCTGTGCTGCTTCTGAGAAAGCTAAAAAGCTGTCACTGACACTGAGGAAAGCAATCCTATGTGAAAGGGGAAAGCAGAGAATCCTTCCTGAATGCAATGCACTAGTGGCTTGCTTAGAGCAGCAGGAACTCTTAGATAATTAACAGATTGCTATTACATGGTGAGCTACATATAAATTTCTTGGCCTACCTGTTTCATCTGTTTGGGTTTTTACCAGGATCTTTGTTACAGAGATGTTGAAATCTTGGCCACATCTGAAAATAATAGTACACTTTACATTGGAATAGAGACAGAATTTTAGCTGAAGAATAATATATAGATGCCACCACCAGAGAACAGGCTTACCTGTAGCATTACTGCTTGCTAGCACTAGTAATGGGCTACTGTCAGCAGAATTGTTTATTTGAGATAACCTGACAGCAAAACTGTCTGTTGTGAAGAGGTAACATGGCAGGAAATCTGGCCTTCCTATCAGTTTCCCCTGCTAAAACTTTCTGTCTGGAGCACTTCTATTCCTTTTAGAAAAAACTATTAAAAGAGCTATTGAGCATGCAGCCCTGGAACATTCCAGCACTATTCGTATTACATTTCATCAAGCACTAGCTGAGAAAAATAAGCTAAAGCTGCCAGTATGGGAGATGCAAGGATCTAGGAGTCATCTGAGCCTGAGCTTTTCTACCTTTGCAACTTTTCTTTGCTGAGGATGGTGTGGGCCAGGTAGACCCACAGCACTGAGTGTGTCAAACAGACTGTGGTTAAGGAAGGGCCAACATAACAACGAGGCTCATTTATTTAGTGCCTCCTGGTGACAGAAGCAGTTACTATGGCCTCTGCAGCTTTCAGCACCAAAACTGAAATGCTGAACATCTTGGATGCTTTGAACACCCAAGGGCCAAGCAAGGTCAGTCAGTGATTTAAATACAAATGTTTCTGACAAGCTAACAGCACTGGTTGGTTGAGGAGTCAAAAAGAATATTTAAAAAAAATCCTACCCTTACCAAATGGCTCAGACTGACTCATTTCTGACTGAGAAAGCATAGTCACTAATTATTGCAGGGGAATGTGCGTATGCACCTTCCAAAAATTGATATGGCTGCCGAATTTCACATCCTACTCATCATCTCCCAGCAGATTTCTCAGTACTTGCTTTAAAAAAAACCTTCCTGAGTTGCATCTGAATGATGTAAGTGTTGTGTTAAGACAATGATTATTTAAAACCAGAATGAGACTTAATTTAGCTACTCCTTTTTAAGGATGCCAAGGCAAGAACTGTTATGACCACCCTTAAGAAGGCAGACAGACAATGAAAAGTAGCTGTGGCTTAATGAGGTTACACAGTAATTCATACAGTCTGGAAATAATTTTGTTATCCTTCATATGGCAGTGATCATCCTTTTTCCCCCTTTACTTCTTTCCATCTGTTTGGGGAAGGAAGGCTTTTTAAGTAAGTCCTTTCTGAGGGCTCTCCTAACCCTCTCTGCATACAATCTCTTGCCACACCAGATGTTAGGACCCCGACCCCTCCCCTGTGCATCCCAGCACTGTGCCCTAAACATTTAAGACAATATTTTGAGAAAAACTGTTATTTTGAACATTTTGAGGAGTATTAGACAAGATTTTGTTTCCCAGCCTACACATCTCAACCAAATTGCAGACTTCAGATGCTGGCATATTGTTTCTCCCACATCTTGCTGTTCTTTCCCACTAATCCACTGATTATGGAATGGGTTTCTTATTTTTCTACTCCTGTAAGACAACATATTTTACACCATTTGAGATGCAAATGTTGGAAAAATGTCTTCTATTTCAGTGCTCCCTGTATTTTTTTTCCTTGTATAGAATAAACATAGACTTATTTTTCAGAAATACTCTTTAAGCTGCATAGATCAAATAGATGCCTTACCTATTTTTCTGATTCAGAAAATAGAACCACTGAATTGTGGTGTACAAGTTTAATGAAGAAATTAAGACTTTTGAAGGGTAGCTACAATTTCTAACCATGTGGAGAGCCAGGTGGTACCAGAATTTGTGAATGTCTTCTCACAAGCTACCATGCTACTTGCTTTTATAAAATATACTTGACTTTGGCTGACATTGTACCCCCAGTTAAACTTTAAATTTAAATTACCCATTTACTACAAGCCTCAGTGGAGGAAAGGTTTAACCTCTAAGAGCAAAGCCTGAATGCACCTGAAAACTCACAACTTAATATATTAAATGTCCCCTATATCCTGCATATCAACAGCACCTTCTTTCATCTTTTTTTCCTCCCTCCTATCTTTATTTTGCTACCAATTTCTTCTCCTTTTGACATCTCCATCTTTTTTCCTCCCTCCTGTCTTTATTTTGCTACCAATTTCTTCTCCTTTTAACATTTTTTTCATACTTAATTACCCTCTCTCACCCAGTAGGGAGCACAGTAGTGGTACCATATTATATAATTACTCCTTGCTTGTTTTGGCCTTTTTTTTTTCTTCTCTGCTTTTTAATACATAGAAGATTTTTATTCATTTAATACCTTTCTTTAATTTGCTTAAATTGCATGTGTCTTAATTTGTAATTTCAAAGTTACCAAGGAAATGACCTACCAAGTCTGGGAGGTGACCCTGTTCCTAGAATCCTGACAAGGTGATACAACAGGAGAGGTGACATGCTGAGATAAAAACATCTCTTGGGAGCAAGTCAGAAGCTTCAAGCCAGATTTAATCCAAAGCCCTTCACTGGTCCCAGAAGTGACTTTTAAGGAGGATTAAAATATGTACTGTAAGACTTGACCAGTCCCTCAGGAAAGCTTCAGCCCTGCCATCTTTCCCAGTGTATGTACTCAAAACTACTGAAAGCACATGCATGTGAACCCCTTGTGCTGTGTGTGGAAAACTGCATGTGTGACTGAGAACTTGAGCAGTCACCTCAGGTCCTGGCACTGCAGGAATGAAAACTTATCCAGATAAGGCAGGGAAAAGGAGCCTGGCTAAAAATGGATCTGTATGAAGACAACACACACTGTGAGCTGCAGAAATCTGCATGGATATTCTCTTTCAGGAGGTGCTCCAGGTATTTGACTTTTACTTCCTCTTTTTTTACTTGTACTTCCTCTCTCAATTCTTGGAATTTTCACACACAAGTGGACAGCACATTAAAAATGAACACAGCTTTATTTGCTAGATTCAGATCTTATTAAATGTGCATATTAAATGTTAGCAGAGTATTAAAAAAATTTATTCTGACATTAGTGTATCATATATATCAGCAACATACATAGCAGACGAAAACGCCACTCAGATTACACAACAGTACAAGTCAAACAAGTGGTACATGTACAATAGTCAGAAACTCCATCTATTTTCATTCCATTCTGTTGCCTCCAACTGACAGCACTTCATAAAAACGTAAAAGCATCGTAAAAAAATTTCTAGGAAAAAATATGATAGTGTCTCATAGTAGCACTCTTCTTTTGCAGTCCTTTGCTTAGAACATACCACACTAAACCTTCCCAAAGTAAACAACCTAAATTTTAATTGCAAAAAAAAAAAAATCCCTGATTGTATTACATCTGAAAGGTCAATTTTGTTTTGTGTAACTAATTCTAACAAGACAATCTATTGTTGCTTATATTACAGTAATTGCAACACAGAACTTTATTCACTTTGGTTAAAGGACACTTTTAGATACTGAATCACATCAAAATAAATTATTCTGACAGGAAGAATCAGCACATCTCCAAACTGACCAGGCCTTCCTTACTCTTCTCACTTTTCAAGAACTCTTCAGGAAACTTATGTGAACCATTATAAACCCAACCATACCCAACCTTTAGTCAAAATACTGCTTAATAGCAAGTAAAAGGCAAACTATTACGTAAAAAGGTGTCAAGACTAATTTTTTATGTGATATTAGCTTTTAGTATGACAACAGATTCTCTTTTCAACAGTTTCTGTATATGAAGAAGTAATGCTATGAATGTAATGACTTGTTTTTAAGATGCTTATTTCTTTCTAAATAAGCTGATCCCAGGGGTTTTTCCACTTTCTACTGCATGATACAACACGTACAAAACATCTGTAAATAGCAAGTGATCTTAAAAAATAAGTTTGTAAGAAGCACAAAGTAGGAGTCAAAAAATCAACTCAAATTCAGGGTCTGCATATCAATGCTGTATCCAAACACATGGACTTCCTTATTTTCCTCCATCTTGCTCTTAAACAGCATTGTTCATTCACAACACATCTATTTGACTGATATCTTTTAAAGGGTAGTATATTAGGACACTTTATTACCTGAAGAAACTAATCTTCCATAAGCAGAAATAGTGCATGTAAAGCTCAATTTCCAAATCTGCTTTCAGCTTCAGTCAGGTTGCACATTTTGTACACAAATATTCTTTTGCATCTCATCACCTTTCTGTTTGAAGCATCTGTCTGCACTGCAAACAGTAACAAACCCACAACATCTAAATTAAGCAGTTTAATTAACAGTATATGTGCAAGATGCAGCACAGTGCTTTCATTGTGCAAATTGTGGTGTTTGATATGTGATTATGACTGATGGTTGATACTCTTCTTTGGCTTACACATTAAGCAGCAGAGCTAATTTATTTACACATGCATTCCTCCAACAGATCCATCGCTTCAAATATATATGAATATTCAAGAACATGATCAGTTCATCATGAACATAAATTGCCAACATGCTTGATTGATCAAGCAATCTTAGAGAATGAAGGTGAATAACTTACAGTAACAAGAAATGTACATTGGCATCAGCTCCTTGACTGGCAGCCAAACTGTGTGATGTGTGCTCGAGGTAGGCACTTAATCCTTTTGCTAAGAACAACAGCTCCACTCAGGACATGGGTTTAACACCGTTACAACATTAAGGTCACTCGCCAAGTACTCCAAGACACAGGCGAGGTTTGCTAAAACAAAATACCCTAAGTTGTGGTACTAGTAAACAGTACATTATTCAGCTGATATGGAATACAAATCTCAATTTTTCTGTGTATACTTGCGAGGAAGTATAACTTTCAAAGTGCAAATAGAGCAAAATAATCTTGTCTACCTTGTGTATTCAGCATGACAGAAGTCAGTAATCTGGTGTTACAATAGTCTGCAGTCTCGGCATGAACTGCTCTGCAACAGTCCACATGGCACTGAAACAGAAGTGTGCCAAGGCAGGCATGGCTTCCTAACACGGAACAGCTCTAAAGGCAGGTTCACAGTATGCTAATGCCTGCAAGCACATTTTGGAAATAGGCACTGCCCTGCAGAGATCATTTTCACACCTCTTGCCAAATGCAAAGAAACAAGGCACTAAGCATGGAAGCGTTGGTATGTTTTAAATATACAGCAAAATCACAAAAATGCCTACCTGCTTCAAACTAGAAAATGGGGACACATTCTTAAACAGCTGGAAGCTACTTTGCACAATAGGTATTACATATTTATAAACTCAGTAACTTTGTAGAAAAGCCTCCTAACCAAAAAAAAATTAAAAAATCCTTCCCAAAAATTCAAAGGGAGAAAAAAAACTCAACAGAACAACCCCCAAGCCTTAGGATACTATGTATAAGGAAAATAACAGCATAAACATACGTTATTTGGCATGCTTAAAATCTTTTGGATAAAAATCCAAGACCAAACCATTGAGCTAAATCAACTGGCATGGTGGTCCAGCTCCCAACCCACTGCCATGGAGTGCAGGCACGCTCCATAGTATGCATTGAGGACAGACAGACAGCTTTAGCCCTTTGCTGGCATTCATTGAGAATCCAAACAAAGAAATAAATAAACAGGCAGCTTTGGCCAAAAAAAAGACAAACATAATCTTTCAATGGTAGTTTTTGAGAATGAGAAATTAAATAACTGTTATTCTCCAAATCACATATTTTCAAAACCCACTGCAATTAGGTGATTCCACAATATCTCCATGTAGAGAGTAAACTCTTCCATAAACTGTACCTTTATGAAAATTATGGCTTTTTTTCCCTTTCACAATTTTTTTATTCCCTTCACTATTGTATTAACTGAATTTTGTGCCTATAAATAATTCCAAGTGGAATTAAGCCAATGTAACTTTAAAAATCAATTCCTTCTACAAAATGTATATAAGTTCAAACCAATGTTTCATAAGACATAGTGAATATAAAAAAAAGCCCCAAACCTTAATCCTTTTATCAGAAGTGTTCTATTTAAATTACTACATAATAAAAATAATAATTTTCAGCATTTTCCACAGCAGTGGTCCTTTGTGGTACCCTTTTCAGGCAGCTGGGATACAACCTGGAATGTTGCAATTAGCAACAGGGAGAGGGCTTAAGGTGGTAAATCACCTTATCATGTCCTGTGAGCCCTTTGAGGTTAACAGTCCCTATACCAGGAGTCCAAATTTTAGGATTACAAGATTACATTTACTATTCAAAGTCATGGGTAAATAAAAACCAGTGCAGAAATCATACAGTTCAGTAGATTTCTTAAACATTGAAAGCCGAGTAAAACTTTTAAAGAAAACTCTAAAATCTTTGGACTGAAAAGAGAAAGGTTGAACTCTCCTACAGCATTCAACATGATGCATACTGAGCAAACCACAGATAAAAAAGCTAGAACAAGCTAAATCCCAAAACAGCTGGGTTTTTTGGTTACATTGCTCTGGATAGCTCCATTCTCCCTTCTGTGGCGATGAACTCTTTTTCTGTGGCTCGTTTATCACCTTGGCACAGTCTCTCCTTCAGTTTTTCAAGTTCATACTCATGTAGGATCTTTTGTGTTAAATACTTTTCACGTTTTATTTTGGCTTTCACATCTGCAGGAACATCAGGGATCATCCACGCTACAAAGAATTTGACGATGAATACAACATGCTAAAAAAAAACCAGAAAAACAACTCATTACCAAAAGAAGCACCTCTTGTTTTATTTGACACCAAATAGGTCACTTTTTGTTCACAATAAAATACAAATTATTTGACTGTGCTGGAACAATACACACCAAATTAATGTGTATCTAAGATGTGTACGATGATTAAAACCCATCTTCTTATGCAGAAATTTTAATTCCAAACCATTAATGACTTAGCAAAGCCAAGAGAAAAGTGTCAGGGCCTGAATCTCAACCATCACTTTTTAACTCCTCCGTGTGGTTTGTTAGAAAGTTCACACAGCTGTGCTGATAACACTTAGCTATTGAGAGCTGATGCAACACAGCAGGAAAAGTGATGAGATGAGCACTTGAACTACTTTACTCCCTTCTCCCTTCATAACTTGCAAAGCAGTGGCTTAATGCTGATGTGCCAGTTATCCAAACTATTGACTTAGCTGTTTTTAACCAACATACATCACTGCAAAATGCTGTCTGGATTTTGAACACAGTCATCTCACATATAGCTCCTTAATGCAAGCAAGAGGAGTGGAAGTGGTGGCTTTCATCTCTTACACTGGCATAAAGACCTTTTTTATTTTTCTGATTATTTTGATCAACATTTGCAGTCTCCTCTGCCATTTTCAGTTTTCCTACTCTGAGGTCAGCTCACTGAAGTTAAAAGGCCCAGTAACAGTAATCTTTTAGGACATGAGTCCTTGGTATTATCTAGGGAACAAATTATTTTATACTCCTAGCAATTCTATGTTCTGTAGCATTAGTAACTATCTAGACAAATCACAAGGTACCAATGTCAAAAGGAAATTTTGTAGGGAACATACCTCCATAATAATAATAAAGGCCAGTTTTGCAGCAAGAATGTGCCAGAACTGCATAGTGTGTAAGTATTTCCTCTCATGATCTGGAGGATATCGATAGTCTCTGTACCTGTAGCAATGACAGACATGCAAAGGTGAAATGTCACATTCAGCCTGGGACAGATTACAAGCTTAGTGACACTTACAAGCAAGTACAGTTGTCACTTAAGGAACCTTTTCTTGTTTTAAATGGTCTGTTTCCTTTTGCAGAAAAAGGTTGCTTCTCAATTTGTTTCTATCTTTGTGTTTGCTTGAACACCCTCACACACACAGCAACAGAGCAGAGATGAGGATGCGTGACGTGAAATTTGGTACACAGGTTACTTGTTTTTCAGGCAATGATCAAATAATGCAGGACAGGATGATGGGATGTATCACAGGGTAATGGACACGTACTGAATAAATGTGACACACATGAGCAGATTATGGACTGGACAGATGCAGGGTTTCATGAAAGGACAGAACTTTGGCGTGTTCTACACCACCAAACAAATGTAGCTGTTTCCAAAAGTGCTGGGGTGGTTGGTCTGGGGGGTTTTTTGTTTGTTTTGAGATCTTTTCATCCAATCAACACTCATTTTACCATTTCCAAATGGTAATAATGGTTTAAGTACCATATCTTATTTTCAGCTTTGCAATCTAAACATTTCCTTTATTCTGCTTTCTTGTCCACTTATTCAGCCTAAAAATCTTTGAACATATAGGCTAAAATTTGCAACTTTAGGGACATAAATCCCCTTCCTCACTCAAAAATCAATAGTGTAATTAAGTAAACAAAAAATCCAATGAAGAAAAAGCAAAATGCAAGTTAGCAATGAGACTTTTAGTGGTGATTTTTTTTTTTGAGGTGACTGTTTTTGTTATTGGCTTGATCTTTTACTACCTCAACCATCACCTTATCAATAGTGTAAATATTACCTCTCACAGTTTAGAATTATGAGAATGACATAATTTATTTTCTAATGGACAACTTAGACTTTAGTTGATTTTTTATGCTGTATTCTATACAAAGTGACACCAACCTGCATATGACAAAGTTCTCTGGATTCTCTTTAGGTTCATTTCTCGCAGGAAAATCTGAGATTAGAAACACTGACAAACTGTTGTTTATGTATCCAGACATTGGTGAGTCTTCATTTTCAGAATAAGCATAGTAGTAAACTAAACGAGGAATCATATCGGACGTGAATGCAACAATGAAAGCCTGAAAAGAAATTGGAGAAAAAAATAAGGAAAGTGGCACACAAAAATTGTAAGCAGATTTATAAAGGTGTTGTGGTTCTGTGACTCTGGCACTACCCATAATCTTTTAAGAAAGAGTGAGAAGCATGATTGGAGCACTTCACCTTGGTAAAAGATGCTGACTGCAGCCTCAGCACATTTTTCCTGGAAGCTTGAGATACTTAAGGTGCTGAGGTATCGTGCTGCTATGGCAGTGCGTTTGTTGCCTGAGACACACTAAAAACAGGCATCTCTTGTGCTCAGTAGGCTCCTTTACAGTATGTTTCCAATAAAATACTGGCATAGCATTTAGTTACCAGTTTATAAAAAATACTTGGAGCCACTGGTCCCATAGATGCATCCAGGAGCAGACCAGAATTCCCACAGAACAGGCCACATAGCAACAAGGATGAAAATGCATCTGGCCCACAGGATTCATCCACCTTTCCCCTACAGTTCCCTCTGAGCAATCAGTGTGCTTTATCAGACTAAGCTTCATACTGGCTTATGCCATTCCAAAAGGCTGGAAAACACAGACAACTGAATGAAAGGTTACAGCCAATAAAAGGTGAATCAAGAGCTGCACACTGCCAACATATGGACAAACCAAACCACTGAAATGGTTTGATGGTATCTTTGTAGGTTAACATGATATAGTGTTGATGAAGGAGAAAAAGCATCAGCTGGTTTTTAATTCTTCGCATTTTGATTAACGGAAGAATCAGTGTTGATGTAGCACAGCGCAGGGGTTTTGGTTCTCCAACTTGAGATTTCCCAGCTAATGCATCACATACCTAAGTAAGTAAGTAAGTATTAACATGCTTACATTGGTGACAACAGACAGGATGGCCATCCCGTTGAGGATTTCCTGCCATACTCCTATGCTATGTGCTTTCGCAGCCACAGGCCTTCTGTACTGAGTGGTCAGTTTCCAAGAGTCTACACGAATCTCCAGGATATTATTCATCAGAGCAAGAAGGGGAGCCAGGGGAAAGGATGCCACAAAGAGAGTAATGAATCCAAACTGAATGACTGCAAGAGAGAAGAAAAATGTGTCAAAATCTGCCCTTCCAGAAGTATCCTTAGAGTGACAGGGGTCTACCACTAGCAGACAAATGGAAAACTTCTGCCAGGGTGCACAAGTCATCTTCATCCCTGGCCTGAGCTAAGTGACAATCAGCTCCAGCCCCGAGACTTCTCCAGTTTCTTCACGCCACCATTCAGCAGCACCCATAGAAACTGGCACTTGGATCCTGCGAAATGATGCTGCCAGCAGTGCTGGATACCAATCCTTTCAGGGTGCTGCAGTTCTCATATGAATGGAGTGTAACTGTAGGGGAATTGGGATGTATTCATCAATCAAACTTCTCAATTGTTATCAGGCCAGTTTTGTTTTCTTGCAGTTTGTATCATCTTGCTCTTCTTTTACTTATCGGCTACACACCTCACAACCTTATCTCCACCTGTTGTTACTGATTTAATCAAAATATTCATAACAACTCTATGCAATAGTTCCATTGGCGAGTGCTGACATTAGTTTAAGAATTGCAAACAGAATATATAAATGAGTTGTTACCAAAATCAAGTATCTCAGTACAGAATGTGGTAATCCTCAGTACACAGCCAATACTGCCACTATAAGGAAGAAGGAAATAGAACATTTTTTCTGGTTTAAGTAGTGTATAAAATAAATTCCCATACAGCAGTCATTCACTCTTCCGTTATTTCAGTGGCAAGTTCTTCACCTCAGATAAGCAACAAAATTCCTGCTAGCTTAGCAGCCCTTGGACAATGCTGGAGCTTAGTTCTGATTCTGGAAGAGCAAGGACATGACTGGCAACAGTGTATTCTGAGTGTATTAGTTTCACAAGACCACAGCCCTGTATCAATTAAAGTGATAATAACATTATGCATCTCTAGAACACTCCAAACTATTTCTGCAGAAATAAAACAATACAAAGGTTCATTTTTCAACAAAATGTATCCTTGTAATAACCAAATATTCATTTCTTTAAAGTATCCTTTAGATTTAGCTTGCTTCAGTTTTGGTTTCAGTTTCTCAGGTTTTGTAAACTACTGTTATAAACTGACATGCTCACATTACCTTTGAAAGCCCATATTCCCTTGAGCACACTCCCTCTGCTGGTCTAAGGGAAGTACTGATCAGTGACTAAAGCTGAAGGGATTCTCCTCTAGCCACTTCGTAGATCTCATGCCTGCAGTACCCATCCTTACTGCACATTTGGCACTCATCCCATACTTAAAATTTCCACTGACATCAGCTAAGAAGATGCTTTGGAACAAGAAAAGAACAGACACAGAGGCAGCTGGCTGCACTGAGAATAATGTTCCCCATTTGAATGAGGAAAACAAAAAGTCTTTGCAGTGTTTCTGTGAAATTGCCAGCAGTTCAAGATGCAAAGACAGCTTTTTTTTTAAACTGAGCTGACCTATTTAATGATTCCCAGCAGTTAATCATCCTGTTATGCAGATGAAAGTGGTGGCAACCCACAACAATTAATCGAGAAAATGTTCTTTTGGAAGTGTCAGTACAAGGTGTCCCGTCCTCAATTCCAAATGTGTAATTTTAAACTTACCCATTTCTAAATATTCATAGAACAGGCCTAAGGCTCCAAATGTCTGCAGATCATGGTCTTGCTCCCAACGACTGTATAAATTTTCAGGATTGTTTCTGGCTTTCCGACGACCCCACCAGTTACAAATCCAGCTGTATATACAGAAAAATGTTAACAATGAGAGAAGCAGATCAGATTGGCTCACTTGGTTAGAGCACTGTGCTAATAACACCAAGCTTGTGGGTTTAGTCCCTGAATGGTTTAGGCCATTCATTTGAGATCTGGACTCAATCCTTGTGGGTCTCTTCCAACTCAGAATATTCTGTGAAGTCAGAATCACAGAATGACTGGCCTTCAAGATCACTGAGTCCAACCCAGCCCCAACACCTCAATGTATCCAGTAGAGAACAAAGGTTGTCTTACCCTTCCTTTTGCCATTAATATATTTGTAAAAAACATTTTTTATTATCCTTTACCAATGTTGCCAAATTTAGATCAAACTGAGCTCTGGCCTCCATAATTTTTTTCCTACATGCCCTAGTGACCCCCAGCAATACTTCCTTAGAGACCTACCCTCCTTCCAACGATGATACATCCTCCTTTCATTCCTAAGTTCCTTCAAACCCTCATTGCCCATCCTGGCTGGACGTTTGCCTCATCAACTTGTCTTTCAGCACACAGGGACAGTCTGTCCCTGTGCCCTCAAGATCGCTGTTTTGAAGCATGTCCACCTTTCCTGGAAGGTGGGCATGCTTTCCCTTTGTTTTTAAGGGCTGCTTCCCAAGGAACTCTGAATAAGTCTCCTAAATAGCCCAAAGTCTGCCCTCTGTAAGTCCAATGTAAAAGTCTTATTGATGTTCTTCCTGATTTCCCCAAATATTAAAAACTATGTAATTTCATGATTACTGTGCCCCAAGCAGCCTCAAACCACCACATCTCCCACCAGCCCATCTCTATTTGCAAACAACAGCTCTAACATAGTCCCTCCCCTTATCTGAGCCACCTTCTTAATACAACATGCTTTTACAAGCATGGTTTTCACAAAAGAGACTAAAAACCTTTGTGAACTAGGTGTCAGAATTTGTGCTTAATTCACAGAATTTTTCTTATCTTCCTCACATGGCAATCACTCCTCCCAAGAATTTCCTCTGGCTATGAGATGGGCACCTCGGTGTCAGAGAGAACTTACGGAACAATAGCCTCTTGGATATTTCCCCAGATCTGTTTGCCAGCCATGACTATGGTGAGCTGTGTCGTCAGTTCTATCAAACAGCCTGCAGGATCACACTGGTGGAGACAAACTGAGTGTCAATGGACGGGAACAATGGCTATCACCCAGATAAACTATATTCTACTACTGTATAAATGCAAGAAAGGAGATCTTAAAACTTGTAAGGAAAATACTTAATTTCCACATGGACTGCCAGCTAAGCCACTCTCTCAGGAAGGGCTTTAAGTATTTCAAGTCTGAGACAAAACACACACCAAAACATAGCAACCATATGAAGACAGAATAATTCAGAGAGGCTTCAGCAGGATCTGTGTGCAGCACACACCACTGAGCCCCAAAAAGGTGAATCTTTTGCACTCAATGAGCTCTCAGCACCAGATTTTTTTTTAAGACCCATGGTGAGACCCCCTGGTATTTCAGAACTGGGACCAAGAAAAGCTTTATGATTTTTCACTCTTGTGACTGACAGATGTTGATATTGCTGATATTGCCCTGACTAGCAACAGCAGGAAGTCATTGGAAGCATCACCTTTAGGACAGCCAGCTGAGGTCCAGCTCAGATCAGACCAAGCCTGCAGCTGGAAATTTACAACTGTGGAGACTGAATTCAGAAATTAAGAAAATCTTACCTCTTCATTTCTCCAGCGATTAAACATGTATGTGTAGGCACCTGGGTAACCAACAAACTTCCCTTTGAAGAAGGCAACATAGAAGCAGGATGAATAGTAGTTGACAAACTGGAACAAAAACATTTTCATAGTGAGCCTGTTCTCATACTCCATGTGAGTTCTGGGGATCTCTGTGAAACCACAAAACAAAAATTTTATGTTCCTTTATTCCCATTAAAAGGATACAGATTCACAAATATTCATCAAGTGACCTTAAAGGGAAAAAAAAAAAAGGAAAAAAGAACACCTACAAACACTTCAGCAGATGAAGTTCCCGCTTTCAGACATCCCACCCTTACTTTACAATGCAATGTTTGTTGTATGCAGGCAAAGGAAATTAATATTTAAAACCTCTATAAAATTTAATTTCCCCTTCTTTGTCCTGTCATTAGCACTTGTCCATCCCCAAATGTTAAACTATTTTAGGAGATCTGAGATGAATCTCAAACAGTAACTAGAAGGATCTCCTGTAGTATGAAGATTTCACTGTTGGCAACACAAGTTTATTTCTTAAATTTGTGGTAGAAAAGTATGTTACAATATTTTTTTCCCAACATACTGTATGTGCATATAATGAAAATCAGCAGAAACTGCATGGCCCATGTGCCTCTGAAAGATGAGGCTCATAAAGTGCAGAAGAATAGGGGCATCTTGGAGCTACTGTACATCACCAAACCTTTGCTTAGGGTTTGCTGCCTTTTGCTGCTCATTGTCTATCACATTTACATTTCTGAAGGCAGCAAGAAGCCCTAAGCATATTATTGTCAAACGTCCTGTTAAATTATAACATATAACCAATTCAAGTTGGGAAGTAGCATAAGAAAATATACCACAAACATTCAATTCCATCTGAATTGGTGAGGACCTGGCAGACATGTTGAACTCATCTCCCTTAGTTTAAAGTTGTTTCATATAACTGCTAAAACTGTTTCCAAGCTTGATCCAAGTTTGCCAGAAGAACATGAGGTATTTACTGGGAACCTGACATCACAGTGTAGGACAGAGGAAGCAGCTCTCAGGTGAAGCAGTCTGCCTAGCTTGCAGCTCCCTAAAATATTTTTATTTTCAGTTGTTAAAATGTTGATGTGAGGCACACAACGTTCAGAGCACCAGAGGCAGGCTATCTGTTTGTCTGAACACCAAAGCTGGCCTAACCATTTCAAGGAGTTCAGGAGTAAACAAAGTTTGGGCAGACACTTCTGACAGCCCAGGCCACCCGAGGAGGGCAGCAGTCCTCCCGACACCAGTGAATTGTTATGCTCCCCCTGTAACCCACAGCCCCAGGCAGTGCTGCCACTTGAGAAATTATTCATCCACACTTGCAAATCAGCAAAATAACACTGCTGAGCCCTCACGCTTACAGTTCTTGCTCCTCAAGAAAAAAAGATTTAAAAAATTATGATATTCTGTTTGTTTCTGTGTTTGTTAGGGCAATTTTAGTTACTAATAGCTCTGTTTCAGTTTGGTCTGATTTGGCCAAGAGAGATAAGCAATACAGATCTCAGAGATGGTCCATGGTAAATCAAAATATACCAAATTCAACATCCCTTTGAGATTCTGCTAGGAACACTTTTCAACTCTTGACTCGACTTGCAAGATCTCACAAAAAAAAGATCAACCAACTGTTTTTATGACAAGTGCACAAACTGCAAGTACCTAGTATTTTCAGCTCCCTTCCCAAGCTGAATATATTCTGCAATTATTTCTTTCTATTAAACACCTTCAGGGACTTCTATTTCTAAATCATTAAGGACATACAAAATGAAATAAAATTTAAAGAAAATGTCTAAGAAGGGCTCTCAGGAATGGTATTTCCAGCATGCAAGCAGAAGTCAAACATAAAATACACTACAAAAGTAGGCACTCTTTCTGGGCCTCCAGCTCTGGAGCAGGGATACTGCTACCAATAGCTACTGCCACAATAACACATCTTGGACATAGCTTTTCATCCTGCTCAATCTCTGCCTTCCATCTTTGTAACTACAAACCTGTACAGCCAGAGCTAAAGGAAAAAACATAGAAAATGTACTATCCCATCCTATCTTTTCCCCCAAACTAAGTATCATGATTATTTAGTCTTTTTTATCTTCTAAAGATTGTGATTTATTTTTCCAAATATATTTGCAGTATTTCTAATTGAAATACTGCTAGTTCAACACAGGCTGATCTTTCTTTGGTGACTCAAGATGATTTTTAACTATGTTCAGGTCTGTGACTGTCTCTGTAGACTAGTTCTAATATAAACAAGCATTATATGAGGAGAAACTAGGCTATGAGAACTAATGAAATGCAGGGAAAATGTTCAGTACAGCCATGGATACTCCTGAGTCATTGCTGCAAGCTACTGCAAGCTATAGAGCTCCCACTGTGCCTGAGCTGCGAACAACAGCATGGAACACCCTGATGGTGTGCAATGGAATCTTCAATGACTCCTTCCAAGTTCTGCCTTCAAGTACCCTTGCTTACCCATATCAGTAATCCAGATGGCTATTCTCTCATAGAAGAAGTTCAGTATCATGATGATGACGAAATTGAGGCAGGAGGCAGTGACAGAGGTTGCCAGCTGAGGGGTCAGCAGGCCGCTGATGGGCTGCAGCGTCTGAGTGTTCTCCATGAGGCTGGCGAAGGCAGCGTACACCGCAAGGCGGTACACAATGACAGCTATCATGCTGGCTATGATCAGGGACACCTGCACAAAGGAGGCAGATCTGAAATACACTGCACACTGTAGCTATGTGCACGCAGCTTTAAAAACAAGATGTACCATCACGCTTTATATTTTTTAAATTTTATTCTTTATGGGCATGAGTTTAGCAGCACCGAAATGCAAAGTACACAGGCAAAAATACTTTGTTATATTTTTAAAACCAACAAAATTATTTTGTTAACAAGAGAAAAGCCAACAATCTAATACCAACAGCTGTGCAGAAAAGTATAGACAGGAGATAGGAAGGATGAGTTAGATTAAACTGTCCATTCTGAAACTCACTCAGCATTCATTGTTGTGAATTTTTTTTTTTGTTTGCCTTACCACAATTTTCTCAGTATGCCTGTTAACATCAAATAAGTCATAGAGAAAGTTATCCCCATGCTAAAATATCCAATCAAATGAATAATTAATGACAGATTTCCAGTGCCTTTTTAAAAAAAATTCTTAAGCAGAATTGAAGTGCACTTTAAACAACAGCATGAAATCTGCAGAACAATAATAAAATCATGTGTTAACATAATGATTAAAAGTAAATTGTGTTAATGTGATGATTAGTAATGAACAGCATCTCTGATACATGTCAAAACGATGACTCAAAAGATGCTCACCCAGAACAGCACTGTAGCTCCTGAGATGCAGAATCGCACAGCCTGGCTCGTTAAAGGCAAATAAGGCTCCATCTCCTGAAACAGTCAAGTACAGCACAGTTCACGTCATTCCCACATCTTACTTTAACATCAAGCAGCACACAGAGCTCTCACCATCTGTGTGAAAAGTGCTCACATCCATGGGAAACCATCCAGAACCCTGCCCCTTTTAAATGGCAGACAGAACATAATTTTGAGTGTGCTGGGATGGGGAGTGGGGAGGGTGAGGCAGGGCAAAAAGATCAGGACAGAAATGGCCATTAAACTGCTACAAGACAGTGCTTGGAAAGAATGGTTGAACTTTTGCAAAATCCATCAGTAGCTAAAGGAAAAAGACCAACTTCCTGAAATAAGCAGGCCACAACTAATCCTGTAATGCTAGGTTAGCTGTCAAAGAGCTCTCAGTCTACAACGGGACTCCAGTTTTACAAATTCTTCGTGCTGAGATCCCTTAAAACTTGTCATTTGGATGTGCCAGTCAGACAGTGCTTTTCTCCACTCCTTCAATTTTATTTGCTTTTTTTAGTTGAAGTAATGGCTATGAATGTAGCTGCCAAGCTCTGCTGCAGCATCATGCAACTGGGTCATGCCAGTATCCCCAGACAACATATGAACAATTTTCAATGCTCACGTAGCTTGTGCAACCAATTCTAGTTCCTAAAATATCAGAGTACATGTTCTATGAAAGAATCTTCTCTTGAAGAACTAATGCCAGTGGAAGAAGATATAGTGAAAAATAACCTGAATTTGATAAATCTGTGGGACAAGGCACTGTAGAATGCTGAGAGTCCTCTTGAGCAAAGTGGCACTGACTACTACAGAAGCTGCAATCCCAAATGTAATACAGGCAGTAATGTGCAATGACAGAGCTAAAGTCTGAATCAAATGCTTCATTATTTATGTAGATTACAATTCTATTGTGATCAGCAAACCCAGATTTTAGCTACGATCTTGTTAGATAGTTTAGCACCATGAACAAGTATGTTAATGATAGCCTCAAGAACAGCAATTTTGGTTTCAGTGTACTTAAAACTTTGAATCACAGATAATGATGAAATAATTTTCTGAGTGAAGCAAAACCAGCTGTAGGACACAAAGTCACTGTCCTGTACCCACATAACCTTATTGGTTCCTGCAGAATTAACTTATTTGAAAGCACTGGCCTATTGTGTTCACTATAGGACATGCTCTAACAGAAGGAAATTACTATTACCTGTACAGGTTAGCCTATAATTAATTGGGTGCTGACAAGGATCACTGATAAACCCTACTGCAAAAAAGCCTCTGAAAAACCATTGAGACAGTAAATTGAAATGTCATAATATAAAGGCTTGTAGAGTCATTGAATTTTTATGGCAATTGTTAATGCATACTTAGAAAATACAGACGAGTGCAGTATCTCACACTGAGATAAGTATATTACAGTCCATTTCTACTTCCTAAATAAAGTTCACAAAACCCTGTCTCACCTAAGGGATTTGGATTGATTTAGAGAGAGAACAATCTTCTCCCTCAGTATACAAGCACACCTAAGCTTTTGGGTGTGCTCTGGCACAGCTGATTCACCCCATCAGGGTACAGGTTTTGGTCCATGCTGTACACAAGCACTGCTAGCCAGTCAGCCCTACTGCCTGTCCTAACATGATCACCACCTTTGCTTGCAGAGCACACACGGGCCAGCAGCTGCCTGCTGGACAGAGCTGCCCTGCTCCTTCCCTCAGCTGCAGCACAACCACCCCAGCCTGGCAGGGTTTGGGTCTGCAGCCGTGGAAAGGGGGGTGGTTTCAGCCTGAGCATACACAGGGATGCAAACCAGCAAACAATGCATAACTGGCAGGCGTGTGTTTTCAATTAGTAGAGCTAACTAATGAAAATTAATTTACCTGAACATGCAGAAGGTACTGCTTCAGCAGAGCTACACTCTTAAACATAGTGCACTGTTATCAAAGAGCTCTGTGCAAGGTACACAGCACTAGTTACAACAGCAGAACTAATGCTGTGTACTTGGAGGGGGAAAAAAATCTCTCTCATGAGAAAAAAGATTAGTATATGTATTTCCTAATGATTAAGGAAACAAGCCTTGAAAGACAAGGCTATAGTTTTTAGAACAAAGACTCTTCCCACATTCTGGCTAAGCTTCTCTTTTTTTTTCTGAAGACTGTATTATCTAAGTATACTTAGGACTAGCAACAATAAGCTATTTATATGCAATTCTGAAAGGGAAAATATGATTTAAAAATACATCAAATGGGTGTGGTAGATATTGTGTTGCAATTCAACCAGCTGATCCTGAAATTTGTCAAATAACTCCTACCTAAAATAAATTTAAATGAAAGCAATTAACATCTAATATTTATATAGAGTGTTTAACAGAGTTAAGTAGGGTAACTAATTGTATCTCAATTATATTTCAGAGAGAGGACTATGGCCACTTTCATCCCTCTGGTGTTTTCCAAACAAAGTGGTTGTGTATCAGAAGCTAAACCACAGCTAGACCAGCTTATCACTGTAGATCAAAATGACTGCTTCTTCATATGTTGTGTAGGGATAAGAATGAGTGGTTTTAAAGGTATGAAAGTTCCAGAGACTGCTACCCTGTATTGTGAAAGATGCTGTAAAAACACATAAAAGCTATAAACTTTGCCCTTATTTTCCTGATTTAATATATCAATTTCCATGTTACGAAACTTTCAGCGTACAACTGGATTTGAACACTCATCAACACAGCAAGTTCATACCTGAGTTATGGGATTCTTCTTCTTTTGGGTACATTTTGCCTCATACTCAGGCCTCAGCTGGAGCTGCTGCTGTTCCTCTTCAAAATCAACCAAATCCCATTCATATTTTAGTCTTGCTTGCCGCCTCTTCCAAAACTCCAAGAAAAGCGTAACTACAATTTGAAAATATTAAAATAGAGTCAAGGAAGAAGTGAAAAAGTTTATGAACCAAGTTAAACATCTGGCTTATTTTCTGTGGTTTATTATTACAGTGTTATTATTACAGTGTGACTCACTTATTTTTACTGACTACCAACTATAGTTCACAGATAAGACCACAATATGGATCCAAGTGATTTATCAGGTAATTGAATTCCAGAAGTGGATAACAAGGTAAGATGCCAAAACAAGATATGGGTATTTCCATGGTTATGGTGACCATGTTCAATTAACTATTCTGTGTAGGCAAAAAGCAACATGGAAATAAGAACCTGATAATTCAACTAATTACTGTGTATAAACCTATAACACAAAAATATTACAACAAATAAACAGAACAGCTTTCAAGTAATATGGTCAAACACTTCTGTTGCTTTTTGATGCTTCTTTGACATCATGGTGTCCTAGGGTGTCTTTATGATACTGAATTGTATCCCCATTCATCTGTTTTGCCCAGAAATAAGTTTTGTGCCTTTAAAACTAGATCCAAGAGCAAAGGAGGGGAGAAGAAAAAGGGGTGGAATTTTTTCACAGCTGTATATTCAAAACACAGAGATAAGAGCTTCCTCTCTCTCTCTCTCTCACAGACTGTGCTGTCCTCAGCACGGACAGGGAGCGGGAGAAAACTCTCCTTTGCTTTTAGTTAGTTTTTTAGCTAGCTGAGGCAGAAAAGTTCCCCAGACTGTGGCTTTTCTTTTTCTTGGAACTGTTTGAACCTGCTCTGGACAGAAAACCCAGAAAAACATCTGGAGCTCATGCCTGCGGCCCACTGGAGCCCAGGATGCAGCATTTCCAGCACAGGAGGGACTGATAAGAGACAGAGCAAGCTGAGCTACAGCCCCTGAAAAGGATTTTCTGAATTTCCCACCTCTTCAGAACAACGAGAGCTTCCACTGTTTAATATCATTCATTTTTCCATGTTTGTGAACACTTTGCTTGTAAATGAATAGTTTTTTTCCAATTTTCTCAAAGGAGATTTATGTCTTCCCCAGCTGGTGAGGGGAGGGGCCACTCAAATTCACTTTCTAGAGGGATCCCTTCAGAGGTTTCCTCCCAAATTTGCCCTAAGCCAGGACACACGGTCATTTTAAAGACAGTGAACATCTGACGATTTTCATACAAACAACAGCTGGGCTGGCTTAGGAATTTTTTAAGACATTAGAGGGAATTTATTTCATATATAAACAACTATAAAATTTATAATATTATATAACATTCTAAGAACCCTTTATAAATTACTTTAAAATGTAAACATTTTGTAATCAGATTGTTCTTATTTGAACTGGGGAAGTTTTATGGTTTAGACAAACACAGGAAAGCTTATCTTCTGCAGTTCTAAACTTTTGGCTGGTACTTCCTGAATGACTAATCCATGTCACGCAACTGCTAGGTCTTAGAAACCAAGAAAAGTTTAGTAAAACAGCCATACAACAAAAATCTTATTAGATTTCAAACAATTCTATATGAAAGAAGTGAGTGATTATATCCTCTGATTAAAAATACACAGGTTTTCTGTTAGCACACCAGAATCTCTGCAAGTTAATGAACTATCTATATACAAGTTGAATATTTAATGACGACATTTCATACAAACAGTATGAAACAAGAGAATTGTGTTTAAGGAAGTAAGAAGCAAGAACTATGCTATCCAGAATTTATAAACCTTCAGAGAGTTGAAGAAAAGAACATGTATTCAACACAATGTTCCTAAAAGTCTGAAGAGGTATCACTGGTGTGAAACTGTAATTATAGAGGCCAGAAATCCACCTACTTCTGTGTCATCAAAACATACTACAGTGCATGAAGTTTACTGGAGTAGATCCCAACAAATTTACCCATCCCAAAAGAACAGGGAATACAGCAGCAGTGATGGACCACCATCCATCCAGTGAAAGGGCACAAAACTCCCCACGCCCTCACTGGGGCACTGATGATGTGATGGGCTGAGCAGAGAGGACTCTTATATGGGCTGCATAAGGTTGGACCCCTCTGGTTACTATGGAAAGACTCAAATATTAGCAGTTAAGAATACACAATGCTTATGTTATTTTTATGGTATCCTAGGTGCCTGCTTGGGTTTTTTTAAGTCCTAATTCCTCTGTAACTTTAAATTATTTTCACTCATTCATCACTTCTGCATCTGAGGCAGAATACTAAGGTGAAGCCATTATTTCCCTTCTTCCCACGCCCAGTGTCCCTCAACAACTTGGCCAAGATCTCCTTATTGCTTGACATGAATCTTATCACATGTACTCACCCCATATACCCATGAAAATGGCAAAAAAAAGAGTTGCCACGTTGTCAAACAAATGGGAATACTGCAAGAGAATACCAAGGAACAGGTCAGCACCAAGACAGTTTTCAGGATGAACAGCAATGACCAGTGGCTGCAGAACCAGATACAGACCTGTGAGGACTCACAGGTGGTGTTCAGTCTCCAGTATTCACAGTCTCGGTCACAAAGAGGACACATGATGATCTCTCCTCCAATTGCAGGGTCACAGATTTCTTTGCTAAGCAGGAAAATGCTGTTAAGTACCCATTTCCACATCATCTTAAAAGCCGTTATACAAAATTTGTTTAAAAAATAAATAGAAGCTTCATTTGTTCAAAGCTCAACATTTGCAGCTTCACAGCAAAGATGCCACATCTTGTCACAATCACTGGTATTAACCAGTGGCTGGTCAGGGCAACCCAAGAATGAAGCAGCTACTACAAGGAGTAGAATTGATAATTCCCTTGATATGGGCTTTTTGGCTCTACCAGCAATGAATCAGGAGTCTGTCAGGAGCTGTACTGCACATGCACTGCAAGATATAAACCATGTCATTTCTCATCTGGTTAGCAATGACATCAAAACACCTCTTCTAAAAGCAGAGAGACCACTTCCACTTTGACAGCTGCAGTAAAATTTCCGACTTCAATTTAATGACTGTGGATAAAATTTAGAATTCTATGACAGTCCTTCGATATCCAGACAAATCTCAACACGTACAAAAATATTCCCAGATGAATTCTTAACCTAGCTAAAGTACAAGTCTCAAAATTGTATTATTCAACAGAATAGATGAGAATTGTAACTTGTTAGTCATCTCTTATAGTTAAAACTCAAAATTTTATGGAAACCTTCTTACAAAAAACAGTGAGCAATGAGAAGTCAACCCTCTTTTCCTCTCCCCACCCCCAATCCCTGAATACAGTAAATCTTTGGACTTCTGATAAAACAAATACTATGCTTACTTAAAAAAACCCCACCAAACTGTGGCTTCTAAGATACTGAATCCCTCTTTGATGGTTGAACACTGCTGATCTGCTTTACTCATGCTTTTGGTTAGTATAAAATGATGACCTACACAAAAAGGTCAGTCTGCTCTGCAAAACAGATTAAATAGACATGCTTAATGCAACAATAAGCACTCAAACAATTTTGAGAGATCTAAGGGGTACTCTCAGGACTTCATATATCGCATCTTCTCCAATACAGAAAGATATGGCAAACAAAATATTCCTTTTCACCTACAAGTTGAGTCTTACTAATTGATAGTGACAAGTTCTGCATTAGTGGTCCACCACCTTTACAGTCAACAAAGACAGCTGTCTGCTCTGACAAGCTTTAAAAGCTTGTTACCTGTTGAGCAACAAGAATAAAATTGTTTTTGCAAGAATAAAATTTTCACATTGCTTAGCTTTTGCCCAGGAGGTTTTCAACGTTATACTTACCTGCTCATATTTTCATCCATTGTAAACAAGCCATAAAGAAAACAGATTAAGCCAACAACTGCTGCAAGGAATAACATCTCGGTGTAAAATCCTAGCCAGGCAAAATAGATTCCAATCTTCTCACCATAGTACTTTCTGAATTAAAAAAAAAAGCAATTAACAGGAATGCAAAGCAAAATTTAAAACTGTAGTAGAGCAAACTGGCCAGAGTAAAAGTTACATACTTGGCAAAATTCTCTTTTAACAGAAGAGTAAATGCATTGAGGTACTGTGGAAAATGAGGGCTGAAACTGGCCATGAGAAGTTACTCAAGCTATATGAACAAGGTGAATGATCAGGAAATATGGCCTCTTTTGTCTCTTTTTCCCTCCTAGCAGAAACTAACATTAAAATTACTCTTTTATCGTTTCTACAGAATAGTGTAAGTGAAGATTTACTTTCTGATTTTTCCAAGGATTTACACAAATGAAACAGCACAACAGTTTTGACCATATGGTTAAAACAAATAGGTAATCCACAGAAATACAACCACCTGTGTAACCTGTGAACAAAGCAACATTCTGTTGTATCACATCAGCTGAATCAAAGAGATCTTAAGTGAGTTTAAATTTGGGGTTAGAACTAAGAATCAAGCTTCCAAACTAATTTTATCAGTATTTTTTCAAGTGTTGAAGTCTCAACATTTCAAACAAACCTTTAACATTTTTTTTGCAGAGATTGATTAAAGAATCTGAGGTATTCTATGTATGTGTTTCTTTAACAGCTGAATTATCTGTAAAATAACCCCAGGAAGACTGGCTAGATGGAAAGAGGCTTCATTTGAGATAAAGCATTTTGCCACATCTCAGTAGAAAGCTCTGTCATGTCCTCCCAGGACATAGTGCCCAATGAATATCCATCTCTCACTGGGTCTTAAAAGAGGCAAACATTTCCTGATGCCTTAAGTTTTAGCTTTTATATTTTTCAGATTCTGTGCTGCTTTAGTGTGTAGCTCTGAGGTTCATATTAAGCAATGGTAAGCTCTCTTCACAGAGTAGGTAGATGAAACAATCCTTTTCTAGCGAGGGACCAAGGACAGCCTATACAAGATTCAGGCCCCCCTAATGCCTTAAGTTTTAGCTTTTGCATTTTTCAGATTCTGTGCTGCTTTAGTGTGTAGCTCTGAGGTTCACATTAAGCAATGGTAAGCTCTCTTCACAGAGTAGGTAGATGAAACAATCCTTTTCTAGCGAGGGACCAAGGACAGCCTATACAAGATTCAGGCCCAAGTGCATCAACAATGTGGACTGAAGAGAGAAAACAAGAAGGATGGGACTTTGTAACCTGAAGCTATAATTGAACAATTAACACCAATATGCAAATGGACCAGAACATATAAAAGTGTGAGATCCCGTGACCAGTCATCCATTTTGTGACCATTTTGGGATCATCCTGGGTGTAGCCCTGGCTTGGCTCTTGTGCTGCCCGAGGTGTATCCATTGAGGCCTGTTAATAAATCCCTACTTTACCCCTGTGTACCTGTGTTCTAAGTCAGCCTTCTCAAGGTATTATTCCTAGCAGGATCAAGTTACAGATGAATGTCACTGTGTGACAGTGAAAAGCAAGGACACAAGCCAGCCCCGAGGCAGATCTCACCTGATAAGGACCAAAGGCTGCTCTTTGTAGAAGCGCAGGAAGCGGGCCCACTCCATGTAGAGCGTGTACCTCTCGCTGTCACAGTTGGGGTCGCTCGCCTTCTTCCAGTACTGGCACTGTGAACAATCAGAGTAAGGGGAAAACACCTCAGTGACAGGCCCAAATACCACACTGAAAGAGACAAACAGGAATGATGATGCACCCCCCTTGAGACTGTGGCGTTGGTCATTACCAGGTATCTTAACTGTCAAATACAACAAAAATTTTGGAACTTCATCACTTTCCTACAAATTAAACAGCAAAATAACCACAGTTTCTGACAACTTTTGCAATTTTGTTTTGTGCCACAGAACTCCGCTTCTAGAAATATTTGGCTATGATTCAATGATTCACTTCGTGATCTTGGTTTTCCTTTTTTCTGAATGCCTCTTGATCACAAAGAAAAGCATGAAAATTGGTTTCTAAGTAGGAAGCAACCAATAGAACTTTAAGCAACCTAAAGTTTGCATTTTGAAAATATTCTGAAAAATTAAATAATTATTTTTAGACAAAGGCTTTTGAGTCTGGCGCACAAATGTTAGAATTTTTTCATAAGATTTCTTAGCATTTAAAGTTGGTTGTAGTTGTATAGAAGTGATTCTTGCTTTTTACTGTCTGTGGTTTTGGTAATCCCAACAGTATAAAGTACCTCCCAGCCTAGCATTCTAGATCTTAATCAGCCAAACTTTCCTCGTGAAAACATAAGGAATGTCCATTCACTCAATTTTTTTTTTCCCTAAGGAAAATAAAATATTTTCAAACATTTAAAAATATAAATCTATATATAGTATTTAAAAATGTCTTATGGTAGAATTCAGAGTTACAAAAAAGCAACTTAAATTCACTAAAGCATAGTGGCATCTAAAATAACCTTTAAAGACCAGAGAATTTAAGATTTAAGCAAAAAATTAAACACAACATTTAGGAGGAAAAAATTTTAAAGCTAAAAAACCCATGTAAAACACTGTAACCCATCTCTCTCTTGCTTTCTCCAAGGAATTTCAGGACTAAACCCACACGTTATATTAAAAACTGACCTTACAGCAAAACTAAACACAGTTATTTGCTATCCTTACCACATTTCCAGGATTACAGTATTACAAAAATGTCCATCTCCCAATGACCTTTGCAGCCAAAGGTCACTGGGAGATGGACAAGTCACCATCCCACACTGAACTGGCAGGGTTCAGGCAACTTACCTGACTTCAGTCCCAAAATGGTATGATCCCAGGAGATTTTCTCAAACTGCAGGTAGTGTGCACCACTGTGTAACTACAGTATGTGTGTGTGCACACCCACTGCTGAACATACACATCTACAGTAGAGATTCATTCCTTGTTATAACCTAAGGTACTGCTGCGTGGTCTGTGCCATCAACATTACAGGAATACGATGGAGCAAGTCTCTACAGAAATGATGTGACTGACACATACTCTAAAAACTCATCCGTAGGAAGAAACATTTCAGCACATAAAAGCCAAATAGTAGGGCTGACAGCTATGTCTTGCATGTTATAAAACAGAATCAATTACTGGGACAAATTGAAAGGTTTGAGTGTATTTTCGTATCTCCTGGAACAGCAAATGTCACAGAGGGTAAAGAGTGCAAACACTGGGAAATGCTCAAGGGAGCAGAAAGCTGAAATACTTACATCATGAAGAGGATATGCAGCTGTATACGTGCCATTGTTTAGCAGTCTCTTAATCCCAAATTTTTTCTTCCCTTCTTCTGTTCCATATGGGCAACGTGTAAGAATATAATTAACCTGAGATTCAAGAATGAGAATTTCAGACCTCTCCTAATCTAAGGCCATTCAACAGAAACCTATGATAGATGTGCACTGTGTATAATCTGCAGGAACAACATGCAAAAGCACAAAGTATTTCTTCAGAAGGCCTTATCTCATATAAGAATAGTGGGGGCACAGTTGCCTTGTAGACATCCCGAAGATCAGTTCCAACAATTATTTTATATTTCTAAGCAAGATGCACAGGTACCCAGGCCTCTCTGTATTTACCTCAGTTACCAAGGTTTCCATGCTCACTCCTTCCTTACATCAATATTTCCACGGGGCCGTGTAAATCTACCTGTAAACATAAGTAGCCAAATTCACATACGTACTATTCTGTTTCTCATGGATGGTGAGAAGAAAGTGCTCTCATCATTAATGAGGTACAGCTCCTGCTTGTCCTTGCTGAATGGTGCTGTGAAATAATCCGGCTCAGGGTGCATCACCTTCTCGGGCAGCCTCAGTGGGAAAAGCACACAGTCCAGGGGGTTCTCCACCATGGGGGGAATGTCGTTTTCCCTGATGGGAACTTTAATGTTCAGCACTTCTGCATATGTGATCAGAACCTCCCATGGTGCATGGATCTTCACAAAAAAAATCTTGCCATCTTCAGATTCCTGCTCCAGAAAAGTTAAATCAGACATTACACCACACTGTGTTTTATTGCAAAATTTATGGGAATATTTTTCATATAAAACGTATTGCCTTTTACATATTTTTAGAGTATTTAAAAACGAAGTAGAAGGGAATAGAAGGACTTTGCGTGTGTGTAAGCTTATCTGAGTGGTTGGTTGTTCCTAAAAATAACCTTTGCACTACTAAAAGCTCACAAAGGCTTTTCAAACTATAATAACCCCATACACTGAAGCCTAACAATTCTCATTATACTGGAAACATGAAGAATAATCTTGTCACAGGCCTCATGTAACATGCATGTTCTTCTAGTGCTACTCTGCATTCACAGCAGAAGTTGGCAATCAGAAGGGTTTTTAATATTGCTCAATGAATTCCCTAGCTATGGATGTTACAGAGCCTCAACTTCATCAAGAGTTATTTTACTCAACTCAGCCTCTGGCATGCTGACTCCACCAGTCGAAATCGCACAGTCCTCCAGTTATTACAGCAAACAGTACCACTAATCAAACATGCTCAAGGTTACAGGGTCCTTCCTCATAATCACAACATCCAGTGGGCACAGCTAATCCATTCACTGCCTTCCAAACTTGTTACTCATTGTTAGGTTGGATTAAAATCAACTGCAAGCATACCTCCCATTTATGTGGATATAAACCAAATCACAGCTATTTTGCCTTCTTGTTATGAAAGCAAAAACAAAAGTTTTCTCTTGAATCAAAATTATTCTGCTTCCACAATTCTTATCAATGTATCTGGAAAAAGCACTCAAATAAATATATTAACCTTGTTTCCCCTAAATTAGTCACATGCCACTGAAATCCATGAGTATAATTTATAATATTTCTCAGAGAAAGAAAGTGGTTTATTGATTTCCAAGTCCTATTCTTTCTGGTCCTAATTTTTTTTTTGTTTTGTATTTTTTTTGTTACCTTCTTGTCTTCGGTTTCTAGCTCCAAGCCAGCCTTTTGCAGGTTGCTCTCAAATTCTTTTCTCCTTTCCTGAAGAGAAACAAAGACACTTTAGTTACTGATGAAGTTAACAATTAATTGATCACTCACCGATGACCGACTGGGTTTCACTTCTCTCAGCTGCCCTGATGACAACCCCTTAAGGCTACATGGAAGCAGACAAAAACCAGCCAACACATACCAGGCCACTTTCTAGTGAGGACCAGCTTTGTGATGGGAACCCACCAGGATACTGACTAGCCACAGGGCACCCACTGGGGAGAAAAAGGCTTCTTCTGGGCTATCTGGGTCAGCAGAGAAGCAGCTGATGTCTTGTGTCTTGAGCACTTCTGACTTCAGGGGGCTGGTATGTGGGGTGTGTTTAAGCTTAGCTATATTTCCAAGAGAAAGATGAGAAGAAAAATTCTGGAAGCACGTGGAAGACTGAGTGCTTACAGCTTCATCCATTTATTTCATCTATTTATTTTGTATATTTAGTTATACAATTACATCCGATACAGACATTCAAGTACTGATTACAGACAATTCAAACAGTATTTCACAAACATCACTGATAAGACCAACAAATCACTGCATGTGCTTAGCTTGCATAAAGTCAGCATGGACTTCATGCAGAGATAACAAACCTGCCCCTGGCAGTGTGTGGTGGCTGCATGACCTCTGTGAGCTTGATATTCTTCTTGAACTCTTTTTTTTTCAAAGTAATTCCTAAGTCATGTCTTTAGGCAAGAACATTTTCTTCCTCTCCTTCTCTGTATAATTTTTGCTCATATTGAGAGACTATTAATTTCCTCTTAATTATAGAAAATTTGCTGAAGAACTCCAGAATAACAATACATTAAGCCAAATATTGAGCCCTATCCTCTTTAAAAGGCACAAGCTAGACACAAATTTATTTCTAGCTAAACCCTGCCATGCTGTCTAATGTTTCTTCTACTGAAAATCTTAAATTACAGTTTTCAAACATACTTTAAAAACCCCAAAACACAATAGTTTTCAACCAGTTTTCTTTTCCTGCATGTCAGTGAGGAGTAGACTGCCATTTTTGCATTTCAGTTTGCATAACCCACTCAGACAAATGAATGCAGACTGAAGAATAGCTTTCATAGCCCTCAGATGTTTTCCTGTGTCAGTGGCCTGGACTATATAAACTTGTGAATATGATAACTCCTGAATTCTAGCACATGTTGGGGACAAAACCAGTTCTGTGCACTATTTTTCCTACAAATCTGCCTAAATGCACCTGTGTAAACATGTCAGAGAACTCTGGTTTGCTGACATGATAATCAGATAGAGAACAACACAACTAAAAGGTGATCTAAGAATGTATGTTGTTATAGAACAGCTGACATCCAAGCCTAGTATCCAAAGCTATATGCTACTCTGGATTACCTTTTCTCCTAACAAAGCACACTGGTGTGTATTCTTTCTCCAGCAAACACTGGAAGAGAGCCAAGCATGTCAGCTCAGAGGCTGCTCTGCCACCAGACACCAGCCAGCTTCTTTCCAGCTGTGCAGCACAGCAGCAGACAGAACCAAAGGGTCTGGCCCCATCTTATCTTTCCTTACAATACACTTAGTGTGACAAACTGCAGTGCTCTAATAGAAATTATGCTCTTTTAACAACCTTGCTCTTCTCTCACAAGCCCTCTCCTGAAACCCATGCAATGTACTATACTTTACAGTTAATGGGAAAAACATTTTTAAAAGGAAATCAATCTGCTGGAGAAAAAAATAAAAATCCTCCCTCTTTTCTTGCCCAATACTGGATTTCTTCATGTCACCATCAAAGGCTTACAATGGACAAAATGTATCCTTGGATCAGAGCTGGTTGTTTTTAATGTGTACTTAGAACTTTAAGCTTACTGCCCCAAACCTGATAAACTATCTCTGATGCATATATTTCTGACTCTTCTGTAGATGCCAATCTGCAGACAAAGAGGCAGGAGGGAAGCTCTGTAAGTCATCACATCCACCATATTATGTGGATATCTCACATAATGTGGGATAAGCACAGACGAACTTTATCATTTAACGTGTGCTGGGCTGTAATGAACCATCCCACTAAGATTAAAAAGGGAAGATCCAAAGTCCAGCAGTACTATTATGCCCAAAGCAAATACAACACTGCATAATCAGGTACCTAGGGAAGAGAGATAACTTCTATAAACCTGACTGTGATAACAATGCTGGTACAACAGTAAGGTCCAGCTCCTGGTGGGTCCCTTCTGACTAGCATATTCTGTGATTCTTTAACTGTGAATTCCTGGCCCTGCACAAGACACTCCAAGAGTGACACTGTGCTGGGAAGCCTGATCCAGTGCCCAACCACCCTCAGGGTAAAAAACTCTTAGCTCCTAATACCCAACCTAAACCTCTCCTGACTCAGCTTCATGCCATTCCTTTGAGTCCTGTCACTCACTGCTCTCAGAGAGAAGAGATCGGTACTTCTCCCTCCTCTGCCTTACAAGAAAATTGTACACTGTGATGAGGTTCCCCTTGGTCTCCTCTTTTCCAGGCTGTACAAAGCAAGTGCCTTCAGCTGCCTCTCATAAGGCTTCCCCTCAAGGCCCCTCACCAACCCCGTGGCCCTCTTTTTGGACTCTCTCAGCCTCTGTCTTTTTCTATATTATGGTGCCCAAAATCACACACAGAACTCAAGGTGATACTGCCTCAGCTCAGCGCAGAGCAGGACAATCTCCTCCCTTGCCTGGCTGGTGATGCTGTGCCTGATGCCCCCCTAAGACAGGGCTGGCCCTCCTGGCTGCCAGGGCACTGCTGACTCATTGAACTTGATTGTTGTGGATCCCTTCCAACACAGGATATGCTGTGACTCCTTCTGCACTACCAGCCAAACTTCTGCAAAGCTGCATGGTGTGGTCTGAGTTCAGACCGAGCCCAGCTTCCAGCCGCTCCTGCAGACCTGGGGGTGCACCTGCTAACAGGGCTAACAGCAGCAACAAGCATCTGGTACCTGCTGCCCGTGCCTCCCTAACTCTGGCCTGGCTGGTACCTCTAAGAAAGCAGAGGTTTCTGTCTGAGATGATGAAAACCGGGAAAACAACAGGAAAACAACTCAATAACTATCACTGTACCCCACTGGGGACAGGGGACTTTGCTTCCAGGCAGCATAGGAGTGGAGTTACTTTGCACAGAGATCTATGAGTCCTAATGTTCTGTATTTCTTGTGAAGACATATATTTATGGACAATAAAGACTATGTCATGGTCATACATCAATAATTTGTTAGATACTTTTATAAATTCTATTAGTTTTTTCATGTTCATATACATTTCATATGGTGGTGAAGCACTTCCACAAATGTTTGAGGCTTTAAGGAATAATATTGTCTCAAAAAATTGTAATCCTAATTTTTGTTCAGAGACCTTTGTGGTTTGGATCTATTCATGTAGCTTATAGAATGCAAGTTCAAAACAGCTGAAGGCAAGTTCAAAACAGCATTCCAGCTGAAGCTGGAATGTATCTGGGAATATCAAAAAAGTTGAAAGTTGTTCTGCATGAAACTAAGGGAGAAGATGAACAGACTGTCTCTTACATCTGTATCAGGGCTATGCTGAAACACACAAAGAAGTTATTTACCCCATTCTTAGAAATGCAGAATAAAGCTGTTTCCTTGAGACTAGGAAAAAAAACCCCTTTGTCACAACTGTTATTCCCCTCGTATAAACACTTCTATTCTTAGCTGTTCCATTTTACTGCATCATTGTACTACCATAAAAGAAACATTTCTTTCTATGATAACTGTACAATAGCAAGCACAGTGTATGTCAGACAAATTCCAGAGGCTGCAGTTCATCAATATTTAAATCTTGCTACCACAAAGACAACAGCACAGTACTTGTATGCTAAGAAGTCTCCACTAATTTATGAACTTCCTAATTTCATAAAGATCTATGGCGAACATAACTGTAGGGCATATGCAGATGTCCCATGAACTGTGTAAAAAAAACTGCTATCTCCATGACTGTTTGTCCAGTGACCACAGAATTTATCTACACAGCCAATGATCTTCCTCCATGAGGCCATAAACTATTTTGCAAGGAACAAACATACACACAATTAAATATCACAAGACTTAATGGGGATGTTAATGCCTTCTGAGAGACAGAGATATTCTCCTAGGAAGTGCATTTTTATATCAAAGAGGAAGGACAATATTAGCTACTAACTCTTGGGCTTTTTCCCACGTGAATCCTTCAGTCAATAATGACACCCATGGACATGGACTCTGGTTTGGCAGAGATTCCTACTATCCCCTAATGAGCCATAAATCAATGAGAAGGAAACTGCTGCACACAACATGAGTAAGTGACTAGACGACCATCTGACTCACTTTCCTTCCCACTTGAAACATAACCTGAATAGTATTCATTTCTTCCCTCATTTTAATTAATTCTAATATGATTAAAGGAAAAGTTTAAGAGTTGCTTTGACAACTTGTGTTTGGGTATCTTTCTTCTCTCTGCATTGAATGGACTTCTTTTCCTTCTTTTTGAAATGCATTTTGCTCCAGGGGAGAAGAAAGCATCTAGCTAGAGGGGAAGAAAGCATCTAGCTAGGAGTACAGCTTGACAAAGAGTCAGAGTGAGTTTGAAAAAGCATGCTTGTATATAAACCTATGGCATCATAGCTATCAGATAACCTGGCCTCCCAAGAAAATCTTTGAAATGTGTCTAGCTGAGCAAAGCTGACTGAGATGCTTAATCTGGGAAAAGCATCAAACAGAGACATGACAAATTTTTCGATATTTTACCACAGTAAGAGTAGGATAGAGGGGCTGTGTTCTTACCCTAGACTGTATTTGGATGCAAGGACAGGCAGCAAAAGTTCTTAATGAAAACAGCATTTTTTTTCATCAAAGAGTGAAAGCAATATGCAATTTTTTTAACAACCTAATCTTGTAGTATTTTTCCAAAGGAAATTTGAATTTTTAATTATGAAATACTTCAATATGACAACATGAGGACTGTAACTGTTCCTTGCTTCAAAGACCAATAGTTTTGATCATGATTTTGTCATAAGCATTGGTATAATTAGTTTTCTTTGGATACCCTAATCTTTCAGAAAAATACGATTACCTGAGAATGTAATTTTTTTGTATCTCTCCTTTTTAATTTTTTTTTGATCATGAATAAACTTTGGAATTTTATATTGCAGAGACTAGTTTGTAAATGTAACCTCTCCTGACGCTGAAAGAAGGTAGCGAATACAGAGAAAAAACAAATTTAAATCCTTATTTTTAAAAAATATTGTGCTTTATATAAAATTTTTTGTCTTGACTGCCTCTTATTATACTGGATTTTTTACATAGCTTGAACTTATGCTAGCCAAGTGAGACTTTATCTGTCAGTGTGAGCATGTAACAAACAGGTGTCATTAACTGATTCCATCTGACCTATTATTACCATTCAGGCAACTGGGTCTTGCTGGCAAGTTCAAAGATAATCACTAACTGACATTTTAGAGAAAGTTTGGTTTTGTGCTCTGTTGCATAGGAAGGCTCTTATCAAAGCCACTTTAAATATTCTTCTAGAAGAATGAACACACATATGTAGACAGTAGGTCAAACACAGGGAAAAGCTCCAGGAGGACATGCTGTGTTTGTGTTACTCAAGAGTACATTTTAAGAAGAGTCTCAGAAGTGTTAAAGAAAAACTGCACTGAGTCTTGGAGCTAAGAATCTATTTCTCCTCTAGCTACAGTCAAAGGGTATGAAAAATTAGTCATTGTTGAATCTTGTTCGGATGACCTTTGCTTATTTAGAAGAATAATCCTCCTTTATTTGAAAGTATTTACAGGTGCAAGTATTTACAAATATTTCTCCATAGTCTTAGCTAGACTGTTAAATGAAGAAGCAAAATAATTTGGATTACTTTTCTCCGTTGTATAATATATTGCTCAGCCTAAGAAATGAAGAGTGATCAATTCAATAAACATAGACGCAAGAATCTAATAAAACTGGATCCTGACAAACAACAGTAAATTACACAGAAATGTTCATACATGGAATTGCTTTTCACATAGCTACAGATTTTTAGGTAAATTCTATTCCAGATGAGTCTAGTGATCTGAAAGGGTTAGTAACTGATATCCATCTTATTATAAATAAAAATGAAGACTTCAAAAAGACAAACTTACCAACTTTTTTTCCCATTCCTTATTAAGATCTTCCACATAGGAGAGAACAAAATCAATTCTCCTGACACCATCCCTGAAGAAAATAGAATCTTTGCTTTGATGTCTTTTATCAATCTGTAGAAGATACAGGCATATGAATTAAAAAAACAAGCACTGCTGTTTCTCTAAAATATCACAGAATGCAAAGGAGTTCTCCCATATTACCACAGTTCTTCAGTTTCTTTACAGCTGAAGATATATCTGGGCAAGCTTTAACAAGGGCTACATCTAGTTTGAGTAATTGCAAAATTAACCGCATATGTCTGCAAGCATTACATGTAAATAACTGGTACAGGAAAAATAAATATATATATGTTAGTGTAGCAATACTTGTGAATACTTGAAGCAGGTAGCAAAAATGTAAATTCCATGCATTTTCCTCTACATAGCAACATTCACTAAATCAACCACCACAGAGACATATGTCCCAGCAATGACCACACATAAAGATAGTTCACAAAAATACAGGGGTGATGTTTCAACATTGAGTATTTAGTTTCATGGGAAAAAAACCACACCTAATAAACGATATCAAAATAATAGGGTAATTAGTATTCCAACTGATCTATTAAAGGTCGTATTTTAATTTACCAACATGCCAGAATGTCTTAGTAACAACACCCACTTTTTTCACTATTAGGCCACGGTAATTAATGTTAGGCAAATAAAAGACTGTAACCCCACTCTCCTAGGGAAGTTAACTCATTAGGTAATATTGTTTATTATCACATCAATATTCAGCTCTATCAAATCAAATACAAGACGTACAGCAAAGCACCTTCTATAGAAGTGAATATTCTAGTTTAAATGTAACTCTGTGCTGAGGAAAATTGCTGTTACTTTTTCAACCACACCTATCAGCAAAAGTGTATTTGTATATGGCTGAATTGGGATTTTATTTTATTAGAGTAGGACCAAAAGACAGTATTATGTCTCTGTCTTTTCCCTCTCATACCATGCATGTGTTCCCTGAGAAAGCACAGAATATTTATTTGTAACTGTGAACCTTGCTCGCAGTTAACAGAAGGCGCCACACAGTGAAGCATGTTACTACTGCAGCATACAAGCCACTTGCAATCGCATTGATCACTGCTTTACCCTCAGACGTCGCTTCAGGAACAGATTATATTTCCTTCCAATCTGCTGGAATAACCAACAAGTAGTTAGCAGGCCCACTGTTTCTCTCCAAGAATCAACTGCTTCACACACGTACACCCCCCAACTACAGTGAGCAAGAAATCCAAGTCCTTTAAAGCTAGGAAAAGCCTCTAAACATCAGAAAAACACAAGCGCCTGCAAATAATATGACTATCATGTCTTTTTTATTAAAGGCAAGCTGGGCTGGAATCCGTTTGGACAGTAAATGTTTTAAGACAATGGCTTCTATAATACTACTTGCTATCATTTGCATACTTCAGCAGAATTTAAAAAAAGCAGTAAGAAAGTGGTTATGAGTGTAAAGCAAAGATACCAAAACACTGGCTCATGAACAGTGCATGCATGTTTCTGTAATTGGCTGGACCCACTGGGACATAAAACAACAAATGACAACCGTGTAATTCCAGAGCTGAAAAAAGTACAAGTAATAATATCCACATAATTCATGAGCTCATTTTTAAATAGGCTGAAATTAAATAAAAATAATTGAAAATCCTATTGTTCCACAGTGTTGCACAACTTTATGCATCTTCACTAGACACATTAGTAACTGCTGAAATGAGACACTTGAAGCAGCCATGTATTATCGAGAACTCCTGTATTCCTATCCTAGCCCTGGGGGAGCTACAAAACACTGTCGCAAATCAATGCAGCACAAAAAAAGCTAAAACAAATTACTTCCTGAAAATGCTGCCGTCCATTCTTTGCTTTGCCTCTTCAGCAATTTTGTTAAGGTTTTTTGTTGTTTATGTTCTTGAGAAATATTTACAGCAGATCAATTAGACTACTTTGCATGGCTGAGATCAGGACAGCCACCACAGAAATGCTTTTGCTTCCAAATGCAGTACATCATCTTTCATGATTAAATGGCTCACAAAAATCATGGAATCCAAGAGCAGAAAAGAAAAAGCATTTTTCTATTCTATTTTGTACTTACAGGTTTAGGTCTTTCTTTGCAAATATGATTGTGATTACATGCAAACTGCAAGTTCAGATACTAAGTGAACCAAGTTAAAACAGTGCAGAGAACTATGCCAACATCTGTATAGAATCATCAGTACTGTAATTATTCAGCATTACAGTAAGTAAACACCAACGTACATTCTAACAACTTAAAATGTTAGCTATTGCCCCAACCACTGATTAAAAAAGACAGTAACTTCACATGACTTCATTCAGTGCACAGAAATTGTTCTAGTGCACTAAATTCATATACACAAAGAAGAAATAATACAATAAGCAATACTTACAAAAAAAAGCTCCTGCGGAAGGAGCACCCAAAATAGTTTGACTTGCATACTTATAATTAGACTATTCAATACAATTGAAGAAGTATTTTATCTTTACTGCCATCAACATTTGGTCATTTTTTAAGACGTATCAGAATCCTCAGTAATTAAAGGTCTGACTATCAATTTAAGAAGATGCAGTAGTCATTGTCAGATCTGCTTTTAGAAGGGTAATACTTATCACTTCTTTCTCCTTCTGGAGATTCTCCTTTGAGATATAGGATTATTCATTGTGGATAGTGACAGGCCAGCTTATTAAACCCATAAATTATTCCTTTCCATTTTGCTGCATTTGGATTTCACAAGGAGAACAAGATCAGTCTTGCACATTCATGAAGGATTGTGCATACATGTGCGCCTACATGTTTAATGTGTATAAAAAGCTTGTAATTTGCATTGATTCTATCAGTGAATCATTAAACATTTGTACATCTTATTTCTTAACAGCTCTTTCCAGAACTACATAAATGCAGTTAGTGATCCTCAACAACCTGCAGTTATTAAATGAAGGTACACCTCATCACAGAAAATATTCTGAAATATCTTCCTCCTGCAATACAAGTAACCAAATTAAAACTTCCCAACACAGTACAGATAGCAAGCTAAAGCTTTTTAGTAATTAAGTTACACCCAATAAGGAACTACAGAAGAGACGGAGCCCCGAGGCATATAGTGAAAACTCAAGAAGCAACAACCACAAGTCACAACAGGAGAAATTCCTACTGAACGAGAGGCTGTGGTTGAATACAACAGATTGGGTACAACAGATTGCCCAGAGTGACTGCACAATCTCCATCCTCAGAGATAGCACAGCCTGATTAAGCTAGGACAGGACTGATCTGCACTGACTGTGCAACCTGATCTACATTTGAAGCCAGCACTGCCTTGAGTAGCCATCCAGAGGTCCCCTCCAATCCAAGTTCACTGTACAATTCTATGCAACCACATTACTGCAAACATTCAGCATTTACAACGGCTTTCAAAATGTCAAATAAATCCATCAACTACAAAGCAAGTTACAAAACCCATCTGTTCAAAACACAAATAATGCCCTCCTGTTATCCTGTAACAGCTTTCCAGACTCATTAGTCTAGTTATCTCGCTAAGAACTGTGACCACCCAGCTTGTGGACAGATGCTAATTGACTGCTGTAATGGTTTATCAGGAAGAGATAAATTTTCTTTTCATGTGGCATAAGTGCAAACTAACAGGATTCATATGGTATTATATCAATAGCTATAGTTGTTCTATATTTGATGATTTCTCTCTAGACACCCAGCAGAGGCTGGGGTATTGGACCATGTCCAAGCACCTAGGCTTGCAATCCTCACCTCAGACACAACCCAAAGCCCTGCAGTAGGAAACCCTGACTCAACAGGACAGATAACAGGACAGACCAAGATGTCAGCAAGCAAACAAAGCGCAGCTCAAGATGAAGTAAGGCTGTAAGAGCCCATGGTCTGTTCTGCCCAGACTGGCTTGGGCACGGTGTGTAAATGCTGGCTGGCAGCCCCACACACACCCAGATCCCCGAGAGCTGCTTCCAGCACTGCTGAATGCTTGCTGAGGAGCCCTTGGCTGCCCCGCTCCACAGGTGCCTCTGAGACACCTCCTGGGGCCAAGGCAAACAGTCAGGCACAGGAGCTGGAGAGGCAAAGCAGCTGCTGGAAGTGGCAGCAACCACCAACACTGGCACAGATGCTGATTCAGTGCTTCAGAGAAGGACTGTGGGCTGCAGCTGAGCCACGGGCTCTGTGCTAAATGCCTCTGCGGCCTCGCCTGCCGCCCTGGCACACTGACAGTGCGCCTTGGCAGTGTGGGCAGCTACCCCATGAGGGCTTAGTGGTATCACAGTACCCAAAACACAAATATGCTTTGCAGATCGTACTTTAATTATTTAATTCCAGATGTTTTTATGGGACTCTGAGGGATTTCTATTTCTGGTTATCCATCCAACAGGAAATCTATCCTTTCAGGTCACTTAGCACACCCCTCACCTTGGCATGGAGCTTCCTACAAAATACACTCTGCTACTAAATATCCCAGCCCTCTCTATGCCTCAAAGACAGGGAAACTTGTCCTAGAGCAATACCTTTCAGATTATTATTTAGTCAGAAAACTGCAAGTTCCTTATGTTTAGAAGCACCCTTCCCAAATTCAGTGCCTCAGACCTCAAAGTTTCCCAAGTGTCCAACCCCACAGAGCAGGGACGGCAGGTTCAGACCTGAACACCCTTCCCCTTTTATTTTTGTATCTTGTACCTTTTTTGTGGGAAGGTGGTTTAGAGCTGCATTTTCAGTGAACAAAGCAGTAACCAATACCAAGCAGAGATGGAGGAACCCATTAGTTTCATTAATTACAGCACAGGGAAGCACCTCTGGCTGTGACTAATAAGACAGACTAGATGTCACATTAATACCATGGAATGATTTTTATGATCCCCCATCAGCATATCAAGGCATTACATTATCATAGCTGTACATTACCAGGCAAAAAAACTACCTGAAACTACAATATTCAACTGATTTATAACATTTTGCTGGCTTAAAAGATACACTCTGCAAACAAAATATTTATTTTATTAACTGCATACCTTTGATAATCACACAGCAAGTTAGATGTAAAACAGACACTGTAAAAACCCCAAAGAACTACATTAAAACACAACTAGGTAATTTATGAATTAGCAATCTGCAGCAGAAGAACTTGCAGAGTACAAAAATGGGCAAAAATATAAGGTTTGAAAGCTGAATCAAAATACAAGAAAAGTCTCCATAACCGAAAGGGCAGAAAATATTCAATGGCTTAAAAAACAAAGTTATCACCTTCATTTAGCTACCCAGTTTGCATGGAATATTTTTATACTCTTTCTTTCCACTGAAATAAAACATGCTACAGGAAAAACACATGGCTTTAAGTGCTGCTATGCTAAATATGAATATATATATTTATGCATATATATGGACTTAAACATAACTTTATAAATCCATATCTAAATTATATAAATGTATTTCCATAAGTAAAGTTCCTGGAAATACATTTACAGAACAAATATACAGGCAACTCTCCAGAAAATCAAAATGGCATATTTCTGGTTCATGCACTCAGATCTCACTTTACCAGAGACCCTTTCCATGAAGTTCTCATCATTATTCTTCCTTGAAGGAATCCATGCAACTGAAGAGCTTACTCACTTTAAAGATGTGTATTACCAACACTCTTAACACCACCCATCCCAATTTCTAGTTATACTTCGTGCAGGCTATAAGGTTGCATACAAAACTATAACCTTTCCCATTCAAAGAAACACAAAGTCCCATGTATTTCTTGTAGCTAAAACTTGCAAGCTGTTTTTTTCACCTTCGCTCATGTTTCAATTCTGAGCCACATTAAAATCTGAAAGCTTGAAAACATGCATTTCAAAGCAGTTTAAGACACCAAGATATTTGCACTGAAATATGAATGCACATAAAAAGCCTCTCAGGATAAAAGAATACATTAAACAAGAACAGAACCAAGAAAAATAAAAAGTAAGCCAGGAGAGCGTACATGTTAATGGAAGACACCAGAGCCCAAAGTAAGCAAGCAGACAGTTTTAATACACCTCAGCATGTACTTCTTCAGTTATTTTAAACAACCTTTTGTACTTTTTCTCCATAAAACAATGATTATTTTAAGTTTTCTGATATATTTGAGAATTTATATAGTTATCTGTGAATTTCAGTAAGTGGCTATCCTGAGCCTTTCCTTATTATTTAATAAAAAAAAAAGACGCAACATATTTCAAATGATGTCAGTGTTTGTTTCTTGCTCTTTAAAACATTTTAAAGTATCATGCTGACTCACAGAACCCTCAGGCCATCAAGATAAAAAGGAATCCCACATTTGTTAATAACACCAGAGTCAGAATACATCCTATATCCCATCAAACCAAAACAATGATAAAAAAGCAAACTTTCCAGTTTTCACCACCCATCTCAACTTTTCAATTTTGTCTATTATCCTTTTGATTTATTTGAATTTATCTCTTAAGTAATCTCTAGAAATAAATGCAAAACCATGTTCATTTTTATCAACAAGAAAAAATTGGTTTTAGAAGGATGGCATCCTTGAAACTGGAAAATTTTCTGGTGAGGGACGTTTTGGCATACTGTAATAGAAGACGCCACACAAATTCATGCAAGGAAGCATGAATACTTCTTACTGCTTACCACTTGATGTTCAGGGATGAGTAAAGTAGTCTCAGTGCTGTTTAGGCCCTGCCAGTGGCATCACGGGAAAAACAATGTTGTTAGCGATGATGCAAAGGCTAATTCAGATTTAAAAGTAAAGGCTAATTCAGAAGAAACAGTGTAGTTCCTGGTGTAAATTGCTGAAAAGCTCTTCTGAGTGACACATGGATTTTCAGTCGAGATAGTCAGAATTTAAACCAAATTCAATTCTGCAGAGCAGGTTGGTCTCTAGCCTACAGTAACAACTTTTACATGGTCCATACTGATTTTTAAGCGGTAATAATTACAATTTTTGATAAGAGCTAAACAGTATTCCTCATAATTTCCATTAGAAAAAATACAATCTAAAAAAGTTGGTACAGATTACCATTTATAAACTGGTGAAGAACACCTATTAATAGTACTCTTATTTATTTTGATCCCAAAGAGGGAAAATGTACACAGCATAGATGACTGGGCATTTGGAACAAATGTGATGCCCCTTACTTGGCTATTTTTTAACTACAAACTGAAATTATACAGTGTACACTAAACAAAAACGAATGCAGTGAGCCAAAGCCTTAATCTCACAGTGTAGACAAGGTAAATTGGTACCATTAATTGCAGTTATACCTAATGAGACTAGTGAGGGCTTCCCAGACTCCAGTTCTGATCCACAGCCAGTGAGGCCCTGATTTTAACTGTACAAGATCTGGGTGCTTACTGTTTTCCTGTATGTTGGTGTGGAGGCTGCTGCAACATCCTCAGGCCAGACTCCACACAGGTATGACAGACAGGACAAGAGCAGATCCTCTGCAGAGCACAACCATCCTACACACACAGCCATCAGCTCTCTGGGGTCCTGGCCCACCACTGGGGCCTTGCAGCACCGATGGGCTTTGAGATCAGGTGCTGCTATTGGAATGGATAACGGCTTACAATACCTCAGCAGTTTCTCAGTATCTAATTCTGTTAGGCAGTATCTTACCACACTTTTCTTTTGCCTTGCTTTTGTGTGCTTTAAACGGAAACCATAGACAGATTTAAACAGTGCAACCAAACAGTGCAAGTCCATTATGAAAACACAATAACTCTCTGTGGAATTAAATTAACTTTCAATAGAAGCAGAATATTAACAGCATTTTATTATTATTGTATCATTTACTGGTTTAGAGTTGTAACATTTCAGAAAGTTTATTACTCCAAATGTAATTTTCATAAAGTACTGTTGATTATTTTTTAAATAATATTTTTGACTTTTATTACAGTTTTTCTTGAGAGAAATCACTAAGGTCCATTCCTGTCCTGGTTACACATCAAGTACATCTTTAAATTCTTTTTAAATGATGCCATGTCTGGGTATTTGCTTATCTAAGTCAAAAATGTCCTTTCAGAATGCAGTAAAATAAACAGAAAGATCGATCTGTTTTTTGGCAAGGAATCCCCCTGAGAAACAGTGCAAATATAAATAGCTGCACTGTGCTCTTACCATAAGATAGTCTGAACTGGGTTTAGAGGTCTAATCCTCCTGTCACTGATGTTACAGGAAAAATTTGCACTTTAGTAGAGAACTGAGGGCTGAGACACTTAACTGGGATGTTTTTCTCCAATTATACACCATAAATACTTGCCATGGAAAGTACACTACAAACTTAACCCTGATGAAAGCACAGCCTTGCTTTTCAATGCTGCCCTGCGGCCCCTGACCTCTCCATCGCACACATTCCCCCCTATCCACTGGTACCCTTCCATCTGCCTTTATCCAGCCTCTCCATCCCCTACTCCTCCCACCCACTGCTCACCACCTCCTCCATGGTTAGATGCAAATACAGGCTTTAGCCACCCACTGGTCCTTGCTGCCCACACTGCTTCACTCACAGACATAATTTTACTGCATCTAGTGGAACACAAAGCTGTGAGGTGAAGACACACAGCTGGGAAAGGCCTTGTACTTTCCTATGCGTTCTGTTAAAAGCTTTCCTGTTAGTCATGGGATCGTACCCTGCTCAGTATAACTGTCAGAAATTAATTAGCTCAAGTCATTAGGATTAACTATTTTTAAACTGGTGCTCATACCTTCTCCTGCGCATTTCAAGCACTCTGATAGAAACACACTGCATTTTCATGATATGCCAAAGTCTGTGTACAGCACAAAGGAGCTCCAGTGTTGGTAACACATGACATGCAAAACAGGAATCAACTCAAATAACCCATACAATTTATTGAGATGAAAACTGAGAAGGTTGGCAATGGTGGCAGAAATATTGGACTGGTCCCTCTCACTCTGGAATCCACTCTCTTAAGTCTTTAATGCACTCTGGCTCTCCCCAAAACAGCTCTCATGTGTTTTTGTTAGACTTGGAAGAAATCTAGAAGTCTTTCTAGATTTCGAAACCAATTTGGTCCATCTTTGCAATATTAATAATGGTATCTTATGTTTCTCTACTTGAAGATCCACCAGTCTGAACTGAAAAATGAACGAGTATGGTAAGTAATGCACAATGTGATGGTGTTTCTTCAGAAGAAAAAACACATCAACCAATTAATTTGGAACACCTGCAGCACCTGCTGCTCTAAAGAAAACACAACCGATGAGTCAAGCCATAATTGTGGTAAAAATGCATTGCTTTAATAAATTTGCCAATTTACTTCTGCTAACCGGGCTTAAATAAAGACAGCCTTTTCATAAATTTTTTTATGATCAAGTGACATTATGGAAAATCCTGATTAACAGGAATTTTTAGCAAGCATTTTCTTGGTGTGAAATTAATAGAAAGGTAAACATTTAATGTATAAGCGTGTGAAATCAATTCCTATCTCCTTACAGGCAGAACAGGGCACAGTTCCTGCAGTCTTACTCAGACAGTAGTGCCATCACCTGCCTTTTATGAGGTGGAGTCCACACGCACACCAAGCAAACATCTCAAATTACTTTGTGCTTCTTAACTGGAGTAACAAATGTAGTATAGATGGACCTCTACAGATGTTGATGAACTACAAACCGGTGATTCAATTTTACACAAAAGCTCTACTAATTTTACATTTATTCCATCTGAATGGCATGAACTTTTACTATTAGAAAATGTAATACAAATTCAAATTTTTAACCTTTCCTCCAATAGTGAAATAACTGAGTGATCTTCTTTCCTCTAAGGCACAGGAACTCTGTTTTGCCAGTGTGTTTCAGCTTCATTTACTTATTAACCTGAATAACTAATTACAATCGCTGAGCAGACACACCGTTGTATATTTTTCTAGAGTGCTTTCTGCACAAATAGAAAGCACAGAGGAAAAAAAGTTTCTCAGGTTTTATTTCATTCATTTTCCAATTTGGTTGAAAGGACTTTCAGAGGCATTTATGTATTTCTTGGAACAGGATCCCCATAAAGACTGATTCAGGTAGATCCTACTCAGGGATTGACTGAAGACACTTGCCTATCCCTAACAGGTGTGGCTGTCTATGTATTACTGATTTAACAAGGACATAATCTGAAGCAGTCCCCATTGCAGCACTTATTTGAAAATACCCCCTTTATATTAATTTTTTCTTCCCCTTCTCCAGTCTGCTCTTTGTGGAAAACATCTCCTTGCCTCCCCGCATGACAAAGCATCTAGAAATTATTTATGCTATAAGTCTTGGAATATGAGAAGCTGATGAAGTCCAAGTGATCTTATTTCTTTTGGTCCTGTGGGAGATCTAAGAATAAGAAAATTGAGACTCAAGAAGAAGCAATTTAAAAAAAACTGAAAAAATCCAGGGTGAAATAGGCAAGAATGCAAAATCATGAAGGACAAAATTCACCACTGCTTGGTGCTCCAATGCTTTTTGAGTCCTGGATTTCATCAAAGTTCTGTATATATGCTGGCAGGCTTCACTACAGACTGTTCCTCACTTTTTATTTTACTTGCATTGTTCCTTATATCCAAATCACGCATTCCTTTGCAGATCACAAATCAAAGAAGGAGAAAAACAACCAACCACTGAATTATGGCCGGGTAATGTTTCTGCTCTCCATATTAAGTCTAGATTTATTTTTTTCCCTCTGTTGGCTAAATCAACAATAAGGCCTTAGCTTTTTCTCTGTGCTGCTGAACAGAAGCATACTGTTACTGGATGTTGTGTCTTTTCTCTTCTAAAAGAAATTACAGCCTGAGCAAGATGAAGCAGTGACCTGAAAGGAAGTTGTTTGTTTTACTCTTTCCCAATGGTTTTTTTTCAATTAATTCAATTTCTGTTTTAAAATTACTTGACTTAAATTGGTTTAGGAATTCCAAATGTTAATCTTTTTTACCTGCAGAAACATTGCTAAGTGACAAGGAAATCACCAGCCTATCACAGAGGTAAATTCATTTAATAGAGAAATGTGCTACCTATCAAGCCAAGAACAAAGCATATTGGCCTGAGCTCACAAGGGCCTTGGTGAAAGGAGAAACCATGCTGGGATAACAGATCCTGCTGAATTCCTACAGGAATGCATCAAGGATGTTAAAGACAGCCTAGCAAAGAACTGAGTGAAAAGAAATTCTTCCAGTTTATGCAGAAGATACAGAAGACAACTGAAGCTGTGACAACACATGAAGATAAAAGATTAGCATAATATGAAAAAAATATTAGGGGCTATCTTACTATTGCAAATAATTAATAGAAGAACTCTTAAATATAGACTTAACCTGAATTCTAGGAAATTAATCATCAAAAACTAAGCCTGTTATGGCTGATAAGAGTGTGAAACTGGGCAAGAAGATCAAGAGTAACTCTGTAACTTTATATCTGGCTGATGCACAGAAAGTAAAAATCGTAAAAATGACAATGTCTTAGGGTTCATTGGGTAGGACAGGGCAAAGCAAGAAAAGTACTAACTTAAATGTAAGCAAACATCAGATAACCACCTGATCTGCAGAAACAAACTAAGGCCAAACAAGCTGTCTCAGAGAGAACATTGAAAACAAGAAATAAAAACACCCAAGTTATCAACTACTTACTGATATTGCTAATATGACAATCACAATACTTCGTGATATTTAATAGCAGCGTATAAAGAAAAATAATTATGTAAGGAAACATGTAAGCAGAGAACAAGAGAAAAGGCTGCATGAAGTTACCAAGGAGAGATTTTTGAGAGGAAAACCAGATTAACTTTTTCACAAACACGAATGTGCTGAAGATCAAAGTCTTCTCCTTTCCCACCTCATCATGAATCTTTCATCCTTCAAACAAAGTTCAAATCCCATTTCCCTACACATATGACACATGTTGCACTCTTTCTCCCATGCCTCCTGCCTTTTCATATGTCCTAAGTCATGAACTGACTTCTTCCAAGCTTTTGGTCATCTCCATCCACTCACATGTGAGTAGCTCAGAATCAGCTTATCAGGGTATGATGGCCATTGTTCAGTGAAGCATTTGATATGGCCATTCACTGAAAGTTTTCCTGGGGAAAAAGATGATTACAACTTCTACAACAGATTCAGAAGGGAATGGGGTGAACATATAAACAAGTTTTTAAAATGGAACTGGTGAATTTATTAAAACATTGGGATGATATGGCTTAATGTTCTAAGAAAACAAAGATCTGTGTAATCTAGGAAGCCATTCTGAGTTCTGTCTTCATGTGATCATCTCCAATTTGGTCCTCAAAAGATGCTGAGGACATGTTTTACTTTTAAGAAGCTCAGCAGAACAGCTGCAGTTTTTCAACACTCAATTCAACAGACATAATCTTTGATCAGTGCCCACGGCCAGTATAAGATGACGGAACGGCTGTTTCTTTTCCTATCTAAAACTTCCTATCTCCATCTAAGCATGTAACAACAATAAAGAAATCAGACAATAAGAATGAACATAAAATACCAAAGTAGAAATGCCATTTTCAAAATTCATATTGAACTAGTTTCTCAACTGGCCACACAGTGTTACCTCTTCAAGACAATGTGTACGGTACATATTAAGCAATGAGACACCTTGAAAAAGTTTATAGCTGATGATGCTTTTCATGTTGCACATAATGAGGTACCCTAGTAACTCAAATCTTCATTTGCTTTCTCATGAATCTTGCTGCACTGTCACAAGGTTCCTAGAGCTCTGGAACTCTAGTGTGCCTTGACTTCCCCAGCAAGCCAGCAAAATGATATGCTATTTCATATTAGCATGATACGCTATTTCATATCTATATATTATGAAATTATATATATGAAATAATAATATTATTTCATATATTAGCATGATATGCTATTTCACATTAGCAGGAAAAACATACTGGTTCTGCACAAACCAGGTACAGAACCAGTATGTTTTTCCAGCTGTCAAAACATTTCAAGACTGATACAGGAAACACCATTAAGCTCATATTGTTTTCTGCCACTACTGTGTTGTAGCACTAAAACTGGTAAGTCTCTTCTGAGACTCGGTGAGTGTCATGTCATATTCATGGCTTTGCTCTTTCAAAACAATACAGAAAGAAAATTTTTACATGGATAAAAAGGAGCTATAAGACAATCTAAAAGAAACAGTAGTTTTAAAAACTAATTTTCTTTTTCACAACAACCATTCTTCTTCCCTCCTACCAAGTAGTACATTAACACCATTCATACTGTACCTTACCTCAGAGCTGCTTGGGATTTCTGATCCTGCAGTTGAAATAGTTTCAGGTCCATTGCATTCTTCCCCTAAGGAACATTGAAAAAGAGATTCACATAAACACATCCCTTTTTAAAAAATATTGCTATATCTGAAAATTATGTGGACCTTGAAGGCGTGGAACTAAGAACAAATAAAGGACAGAAAATAATATTCATAATACATAAAATCTTCAAGAATGGTTCTTTGGAGGAGAAAAAATGCTGCAAGACACAATATACTCAGCCTGTACTACCTTGGTGTAACCTTGCATTCACAGAAATGTATTTTTATCTGTGACAGAAAAAAAAACCTGTTGACATCACTTATCTTTCTTGTCTCAAATATCTGTTAGGTCTAAGAGGCTTTCAACTCAGAGCTTTGCTGCCTCAGTTATGGAAGTCCAATTACCTATGGAAGTGTTTGCTAGAGATCAAATTAGGGTGTCTAGGTCTAAGAGCCTTTCAACTCAGAGCTTTGCTGCCTCGGTTAAGAAGTCCAATTACCTATGGAAGTGTTTGCTAGAGATCAAATTAGGGTGTGTTTTTTTGCTAAGGAGTCAATGATGCATAACCTCAAGATTACAAATGCCCATGTAATGGAGGTATGACAACAGGATCAAGAATAGTAACATGAATTTAATTACTTAGCTTCTTGTTCAAAAAACAAACAAACCCTAAAAAAACCCAGCTCTAAAACAACTGATAAAATAAACCAAACAAAAAAGCCTGCCTTCATTTTAATGAGAGTAGTGAACTCCAACATGACTTTCCTACAAATACAGTCATTTCATCAAACACTGTTACTAAAATGCTAATACTAAAGGGAAAATCCTATTCAATACAATCATAATCTTAAATTGAATCAAGACACTGGCTGAGTTTGTGCCTCTGAATTTACAGTCACCAGTTTCCTATGGAGAACAACTCTGAGCCCATAGGCTAGCCTCCTGCTCCAAGCAGGTTTTTGTAAACAACTACCTCTGCTGATTAGGCACACCAGTCTCTTCAATCAGGCATCTAAATTACTCCACCACAAAAGGATAAGCAGTTTTGTAAATAGCTGATCAAAATCTAGACCGTGCACTGAAAAATGATGTCTCTTTTTTTCAGAAAAGAGGATTCATCTTCTTTCTTCATTAAGGAAGCATTGCTGAGTATAGCTACGACTGGACAGACTTACACTGGACCACTGTCAAGACAATTACATTATTTCTGCCAATAAAACAAGCCTACTATTCTTTTTATAATCTGCAAACATTTGATATCAAAATTGCATCCAGGCAGGATTTAAAGTGCTTCTTCAAAAATATATAATAAGCTACTTGAGTACAGTTTGAGAGCATTTTGTTTCCTACAATTTTTTTTCTTTTTCGAAGTTCACTTACAGAAAATGGTCTCTGTAATTTTTACACTATACATATGATGAGAAACCAAGCAATGGTATGTAAAACATAACAAGTAAGTTTCTGAATGCCAAGACAGTTAACACTGTTGCATGGTATTCTGCTAAAGAAAACTACACCTGGAAAACTGTATTAGTAGATACAATCTGAACACCAGGGTAAAGAATGGGAGCATCCCTACCATGCTCTGCTACCTGTGCTGCCTAAAGCCCTGGGAGGCAGCTGGTTACTGCAGACTTGGCCAAAGGTACCAGCCCAGGGCCCAGGAGCAGAAACCCAAATATTTTGTCACACAACTCTCCTATTCCAGGCAGAAACAGTCTGGCATCTTGTCCCTGCAGCAGGGACATTTTATTTTCTATACTGCTGAGGGAACTTGAACTCATTCAATGACCTATAACAGCTTGGGGCGGGGGCGGGGGGGCAGCTGTTCTGGATTTTATCCTCTCCGTAATTGTGTAAATCTAATCTCAGAATAATTATAATTCAGAGTTGCAAATTTTAACTGCTTTCCCAGTACCATAGCTGATTACTTATGCAACTTGTGGAAGGAAATCCTCTTGATACCTCTGCTCCACTGGAAAAAACCTGAATAACCTAGAGCAGCACATGAGAAGGTAAAAAGAGAACATAACACATGTATTAACTGAAAAGTACAACATACTCAGTATGTCCACTCCTTGTAAAACATGTAATCAGATTCCTGAACATGAGCAGCACAAGCAATGCACACCCAAATCCTGCAGGAAGGTGTAAAGAGGCCCCATCCCAGAACTGCACCAAGCACCATGAATGTAAATGCACAACTAGATCTTAACCAGGAGAGCTGCCAACAGATAGCCAACAACTGACTTGCAAATCACGTTGCAAAAGGCCTGGCTCATATGTGATACCAATGACTCACATTAACTAAAGTCTGATTTGCAAGAGGCTCCCAGCAGAAAAAAAAAAAAAGAAAAAAAAAAAGAAAAAGAAAGGACAAAAGGACAGAGGAAACAGACAAAAATGAGGACGGTAAAACATGGGTTAGTACAATACCTTCTGACTGTGATGGCTTGAACTTGGTGAGAATCGCAATGTCATCTTTGAAAGGAAAAAACACTTCAGTAAGAACCAGAAGTAAAATTCACTTTATGATGAACCCATTTCATAATTCTTCTCTATCCTTTCCAATACAGCCACCATATAAAGCAAAACAATAAGCCTTGGACACCAGAGACTGTGACCTAGACAGAAAGCATGGCACAGGCTCCTCCTGGAACACCAACATTCACCATTCAGTCCAGGCACCTTATTCAACAACATAAATAAGGATGTCACTTCTCCTTAGCAGCAGCAGAGAGGACCATAATAGTTTCTACTAGTCAAGAAAGCGCTTTAAAAATTCTTCATGAAATTACTGCTTGATATCTCAAGATGGGAGTAAAACAATAATGTTCTGATAAAATTCTGTATTTAAGGGTATGTCCTTGTTCTTCAACACTACATGTTTTTGTGTATATAAATAGACCTAGAAATATCTGCATGCCAAGAACAAACAAGGACACTTCCTAAACTAAGTGGCTCTTTATTATAAAATTTGTATAAATAGCAGAAACGCTTTGAAATGTTTTTTGTTCAAAACTAACTCCAGTACAACTCCATGACTATTAAAGCTTACTAAATTATTTCAGAAATGTGTCATTTTAGTATTTGGTCAAATCATTGACCTTTATGGGAGTGCATATATCCTACCCAAAAGAAATGCCTCTTTCCCAATAAAACTGACGTCTTCACCAGCCACACAACTCTTCACACAGCTATTATGTGCAACTCCTTAAACACATGTGCCTTGGCACTGTGCACGTTACTGTAAATAAGCAACATTTATATGGCCTATAATTCTGCAGTAAAAGGCAACATATGCTGTCTCAAACTACGCCCAACCACAGGGAAACCTACTTAGAAACTTTTGGTATGCCACCCCTAAGAATTACAGACCATTTCTACTTTGATTACAGACCCGAATGACGAGAACAACAGTAGCCCACAACACAAATTAACATTCAGTACTGAAGACTGAAGAATATAATCAAGACTGATTTTATCTCTTAAAATATAAGTAGTTTACTCACAAAACAGGTACTTTCATTACTGTAATCTTATTATTTCTGTAACAAGCATAAAAAATGACTTCTTGTGTAATTAAACAATCAGAAATTCTAGAATACTTCAAATCTGCTCACAGTGCCAGAATCACTTTATTTTTCTTCATGGAAAAACTGATGAGTTAGGAAAAGGCAAAAGTACACGTATTCAGTGCTACTGCAAAAAAGTAATGATGGATTGTAAATCAAGGCCTCCCATAGACCCTGTTTTCTGATAATAGCTGCAGCAAGGCAAGCGGCACCAAAAAAGGAACTGTACATTCCCTGGGAGAAATACAACCTGTCACACAGGTCATGTCCTGGCCACAACAGCAGTGCCTCAACTAGCACATAAAAGCCCAGGACAGACCTAACCACAGGACTTCTCATTCAACTATGGGTGCACTTTGAAAAATGGTTTCAGCTTTGAAGAGCGTTTTCAGCTTCCAGCACTCTCCTAGATGGAGAAGAAGCACACTCTGGAGGACACTGGAATCTGGTCAATAAAACAGTATTACAGAGAAGTCTGCCTTGCTAGGGAGAGAAAGGATTTTAGCCACACAAGTGTGGCTGGACTGTGCTACTCATCTTCAAAAGCCAGTGGGAAAATCTTTGGCTTTTATAATAACTAGCACAGTCACAGCCATGGATGCTCCAGCCCCTTTAACTGTACCTAACCCAGAATTTCCCTGGAAGATGACAATCCTCTTACTTCAGCACCCTCAGTAAGTCCAAGTGTGCTGGGAGATGGCAAAGAAAAAAGCTTGGCTGATGATGCTGCACTTGAGGTACAGCTGGTGTGAAGATGCTGCAGTCTGGCACAGTCCAGAGTAACTCTGCATCAGAAAACAGAGCAAGAGAAGGCTTTTAAGTTTTCCTTTCTTCCAACTTCTATAACCCTGATTCAAGTGCACCAAGTACAGTTCTTAACAGATTGTTTATATCACTAAAAACATTTACGTATTTGGTGTATTATTTCTTTTGCTACTAAACTAGAAAATCATCTGCATTTGCGCACCTAAGATCTGTGACAAAGCTATTCCAAAGGAACAGCTATGCCAAAGGAATTCAAAGGAAAAGCCACAGACAGGATTCTCATGCAGGTGTTGATAAACTGCATTGTTTAGCAGCAGCAAGATAGTATTACTGTCGATTCTGCTATTTCAGCATTGATTCCAAAATTCTGCTTTCAATTATTTCCACAATTTTCTTAGACACAATAACAGCATCCTTTTCAGCCAACAAAACCAAGCAAGGAGCTTTCAGACCACTGACACTGTTCTACATATGTCTGACACATTGGCATATTAGTTTACACACATGCCTATCCCTAAAGCAAAATTTTGATGGTCCAGGTAAAATGAAAACAAACAAACCAACCAACAAAAATCCTAACAAATCCTGAAACTTACATTGCAATTGTTATGAAGTAGCTACTATGTACTTATGAAGAAAATTCCCAATATTCATCTTTAACATGCTATGAAAGAAAACATTATTCCTAGATGTCATGAAGTTACCATCTTAATAAACCCCCTGACATTATTCGATGACCAGGCCTGGCCAACAGGAAAGAGAAATGAGTCACTCCCTCCAAGCAAGCATCACAATGACTGTGGCAAGTGCTTCCATATCTAAGGAAAGCAGCTTTACAATGACTTCTCAACTAAACTTATGCACATACTGATCACATCCTCCAGAGCTCGACGGAGCTGCCACTGGGAACTGGAAACCCACCTAACTGACTTGTAAGAAAGCAAGACAAGGTTATTACCCCAGCTGGTATTGTCTGAAGAGTAGTAACTGTGCTGCTGTGCCAAAGGTTCAGCCCTAGAATGATGTCTGAGATGGTGATTCATGCACACACAGAGATGCTTCTAAAAATTTAAAACTATCTAACAATGAAAACATTCTCAGTGAATCCAAGAAAATACATTTGGATTATTTTGAAAGAGTCTTATTAGTCCCTTTAAAAGAAGATTGCGTTCAAGTATAGGCTGCTTCACTGACATATTAATTTTCTTCGTGTGTTTTATCATTAAACAAGTACTTCCAGAGAACAAGTATTTATCAACATGTCAGAATTAAAAGAAAAATAACTATTTTACACAGGCATAAATATTTGGAAATCTGTTCCTAACAGTAAAAAAATCTCATTTAGCATTTGGAAAAGACACGTAGTCCTAGTCCTAATCTCCAGTATAGTAACTGGGTATTTTAAATCAAAATGGGATGTTTACCTTCAGCTGCTTCCCTTTTAAAGAACCACAAAACCACCTCCCCTTTTGATTAAAAGCCACTGGGATAGCAAAAAAGGGAATATATTAAACAAAAAGAGAAGTTGTGCAAATCTATTTTTAGCAAAAAATCCCTCAAACATAGTATTGTAACACAGAACTTGAAGGGCATGTTAATGCAATTCAAGTAACAACCATCACTGTATTTTATGTACCAGCACAGGCAAGACTCAAAGCACACTGTGAGCATTCCGACCTCCCAGGTATCATTGTTCTGCAGAATGACAAGACACAAACTGATTAATAAGTTCAAATGCAGTTTAAAAAGAAAGCCCAGACTAGGAATAGTCGGATAAAGTCAGGTATTTTTAAACTGCACAGCACTGGCATGCATGCAAGTAAGAGGGACTAGAATGACAAATATCAGCAGAACAGGGTGGTAGAAACACCAGACTGCAGGAGTTCTGACAAGTCATGAAGCACTGGGGCTGTGCTTGTCTGCCTTTAAGAGTATTTATATATTTGGGGCCAGGTTTCATCAGCACTACTGACTGCAGAGGCAAGCAAACAGCTCCAGCAATGGCCTTGCACATCCATGGAAGTGCCAGGTGCTCTTGCCTCTCCTTCAAGGTACGATGAAGAAAGAGGAACTGTGGGAATGTTTTTCATCACAACCCAATGGAACCACAAGCACTCCAACAAGTGTTAGGCACAGACTTGCTTTCCTAGCGTGCCCAGAGATACAATGAACAGCATCATTCATTACTCCATTTCTCCAGCTTCCACTGAAATCACTGATGTAAACCCTTAGGCAACAGAATCTCCAATTTCTTTCCACATTTGCCATACACAAGCACCCAAAAGTAGTGCAGGGCCCAATGAACTACTCATTCTGTGCACACACATTATGTTCGTGCCCTTGTATGAGAGATCTTCTATAGATGCTGTAAATGAAAAGGGATAAATAAACTAGGAAACTAATGATGCAAATATAGCAATATATTTTTTTTACAAAAAATCAAATTTACTGTCCTCTGCTATTCCTCAATTTCATGTTATCGAGACATATCAGATGGCCAATTTAAACAGTAAATTTTTATTCCTTCTGGTTCTTTATGCTCTGCCTCACTCAGTACTTTTCTGGTTATGCTTCCAGTGAAATGCATCATTGTAAATTTTGCTATTGTATTCACCAAGTAATTAATTTTTTCACATTATACAACATAAAAATATATCAGTATAGGAAGATGTTTTATAAACAAATGCAAGACTTGCAAGACTTACAAGAATTGCAAGAATTGGCATTTTGTCCAAATTACTTTAAAAATGATGGAACATATTTGGAATTCCTATAGTGATCCCAAAGAGAAACTGTTCCTATCAATCAAGAAAATGATCAGGGCAATGGGCCAGGTCTTCCATTGCCTAAACTTTTTTTATGTAAGCACCAGTCAATTAACAGAATTAGAGTAGGCAAAGTGGTTGGCAGAACCAAGTGGCCTGGAATCCACATCTGCTAGCCATTACTTGCTGGCATGGTATATTTCTAGCACACTATAAATGGTGCAAACATAGACTTTCTGATTTCCTACCCAACAGTTAAGACAAATCCTTTGAATAACAAAACCACAGGGCCCTTTCTAATTTAGGGGTATTACAGCAAATGAAAGGACAACCATCTGCATCAGGAGTTCTATCCACATGGTTTGCTGGTGTTCTGCTATCTTGCCAAAGGCCTCAAATTTCATATTTACCCTTTAGAGCCTAGTAAAGAAGAAGAGAGTCCCTTGGGATTTCCAGTTAGAAGACTGCCCTTCATGCAAAGATATATTCACTTCCTAAAAAAATGTGTTTGGAACTTCACCATGTCTATTGGTCCTCACTGAGAGCCACTGGTGAACAAAACACCTTTAACAGCTTTATGCTTCAATGAAAAACATATATCTATATAGTAAAATTCAAGTAAACAAATCCCAATAGACTCAGCTCCTCCCACACAGTGTTTAATCTAACACAAAATGTTGTTACAACAAAATATATGTGTACACAATGTGTAACTACACTCAAACTTCAATCTGTAAATAATTTCTGACATGTTATTCAACTTTAGCACACAGCAAATAACAGTAAATCCCTCCATAACTATGTTATAACTGCAAGCACTATCCTCAGCAATACAACACAAGAACCTTCCTTCCCCTTTCTGCATTTACACACATATGCACGTGGAAAGCTATCACCAAATATAATAAAATTACTGCTAGATAAGAATATACAACCTGGTAATTACACTGCTCTTTGGTTCAATCCCCAGATCACAATAAAAACTAGTGCAAAAGTTCAGTACATTATTACCTGACCTCCTAACATCTGATCACATATTCTCATTACCTACACCTTCCTGATGACTTGTTTAGGTTAGATGACTATGTATCTCCTCCATGTGCATATGCAACTCATGGCTTTGAAGATACAAACTACCAAGACATGGTATTTGGTTTCTTGGTGGTTTTGTTTGTTCTTTTGTTTTTTTGGTTTTTTGGTTTTTTTTTTTTCAAATTATATGCCAACAGTTCTCAAGCATGATTTTTGAAGGACATTTTCATCAATGCCCTTTTATCTTATCCTAGTGTTTCCTTGTATCACAGTAATTATTAAGTCTTTGTTCATAAAGGTTAAAGTGTACTTCCATTTTATAATACAGTTATCAGTTTATTTCTGTAGGGAACACCTCAGAACAGCACAGCACACCAGGCAATGCCTGAGCAGCAAACTGATGGAGAGGGACTCTGCCTTACACCAGAAGAGATGCTGGTGGCTTTCTTGGTGTTTATTTGGCATTCACAATCCAGAATCTCTGCTCCACCACTGAGCCAAATCATTCCTCCAGGAACTATTGTGAGGGAGAGCTGCAGAGCATTTTCTTTCATATTCTGAGGGAGAAGGTGAAATTCTTCTTACAAACAGACTAAAATGCTTTCACCTCTGATGGCAGGGCAATCACTCAGTTCAGACCTGAGGGATCTTAGAGGTCTTTTTCAACCTTAACGATTCTATGAATCCACCTTTATTTCCCAGCTTCCCAAAATGTGGCCTGAATATCCCACATAATTGCTACTGGATTTAAATGGCATGCAGGGGACTTAATCCTTCCTTTGCTACTCACTGAACTGCAGACAGTGAGTTTAATCCCATATGCAGGGTGCTCACCTAAAATGAAAATGCTGGCCAAGAGTAATTTTTTTTTTGACTGACACTATCTTAGGAAAAAAATCTGTATTTAACAGCTGCAGTGGAATGGGCTTGATGCTTTCATTTTTGCATTAAAAGCGCCAGAGCTATACAGTGATATGATACAAGTTGTTGGGATGAGTTCCCAAAAGCAGGTTTTCCTAGTACAAACAGGAGTTTTCTGTTACAAAGAGGTTTAACTTCCAATAACCAACCTGTATTTACACCGTGCCCCTGCAGTGACGAAATTCCACTCAGAAACCAGACATTGGTTGGGCTAAGAGAGTATTTTCTCCCCTGCCTTTTATACTATGAACTATGTCTAAATTCCTTGGAGCTTTTATTTCATTACCTAGGAGCAAACTATCAAACAGCTTTCCTCTTAACAAACCCTTTGGTTTAGGCCTGTGGGAACACGATATCCCATTCAACGTTTCCACAAATAGATCAGAAATTACTACATACACTGCGCCAGTAATTAGAGACACACGTAGTTTTGAATGGAGGCCTGTATTTTATGTTACTGGTATGAATTCTCATAAAAAAAGTTCAGTATCATTTTATTAAATAACAGCAGGATTTGGCCCTGACTGCTGAGGTATTGCAAGGTGCCAACACAGCAGCACAAGCACTGTCGTGGCACAAGCACCACTGGCTTTCACCGGTGTTTTTCCACCTTTCTCAGAGGGAAACAAACAAGATGACAACCAACTTAAGTAAGCATTTGAATTAAGATCACTTAGAGCGTTTTGAACACAAACCAGGCTCCTGGAAGTTCTGGAAGAGGAGCCATGTGTACAAAGGCAGCATATTTCAAATCAAAAAGCTGTTGGCATGGAGCCAACAGCAAGCTTCCAAAAAAAGCAGGCTTGGGACAGATCCCACAACACGCTACTGCAGCATTAACATGCTGGGGGAAAAAAAGCTCCTGAAAGTGAATGTAGACATAAGTAACCCTAGCAACATATTACAGTCTTCCTCTGATATTTACATTCCAATTTTGTAGGTTCAGTTTTCTTAGGCTTTCATATTTGGGGTATATGACACACACCTTCCAACAAAAAGCAAAATTACAAACACAAAATTGGAATTTTTTACCTCACACAGATGTAATTCAGCAGGAAGCCAGGAAGCTTCCTTCAAGGTAAAAGTTTCAACACACAGGCTCTAAACAGGCAAGTTAAACTTTCTGTTGCTGGTAGACAGTTTTGCACCCCATAATCTGTTCCCCAGCATTCAAGTTTAATGAAAAGCAGTAGTAAACCAGAAATAAATACACACATATTATCCAAATACAAACACATCTTTAAAGAAAATAAGCAGCAGATGTTTTCTCTCCTGCCTTGTTCCTATTGACTTACACAGGCCCTGCCTGTACACATCAGACATCTAGACCCTTAAGAGGTTTTTCCTAAAAGGCACAAAGCATATATTTAAGTCTATAAGAAGTTCTGCTGTTAATTTTTCTAAACAATATTTTAATTAATTTTCTGGGGGGTTTTTAACCTTGAGAGACTTTTGGGCAACAAGTTAACATAACTTTTAAAAAGCCTACTCACTTCACCCCATATTCAATTTGTTTCTGTTTAAGAAAAGTGGTTAATTAAAATTGAACTGCATTAGAATATGATTTGGTATGGAGAGTTATGTGCTACTATATGACAAACCCTTCTTAACCATCCTTGAACACTGAAACCCCTCAAATCTCCTTATAGTCACTATTTATGACTATAAAACCCCACAATGCTCATGGGAAAACTGAATAATATGGAATGAAGTTTACAAACCTGACTTCATAGAATCATTCCCTAAATAGGAATATTTTGTGTGTTCTGTAAATATTTTTTAGTCCCAAGGTACTTCAGAAGAATAACCCATGGAGAGGGCAGCTTAGTCCTAGCACTTTTCATCGCCCCCAGGCAGTGGGATGGGCAATGACTCAGGTCTCTCACATCCCCTTTGGAACAGGATCGCTGGCCAAGAGGCTGTAATATCCATCTGCTCGGGTTCCTAAGAAGCCTGCCAGCTCCATCAGGCTTTCCCAGAGAGGGCAAACCTTCGTCTGACACTTGCTGCGGACGCCTGCCTCCCCACAGCCACACATCCCTCCTTGCTGTCACCACAAAGAGCTTCTTTTGGATAATTTCACAGTCAATATTGCCATCACACCTCTCTGCAACAAGACTGCCAAATATTTTGAAAATTATGATTTGCTGCTAGGGCTCAAGGTGTTTAAAAGGGCACTATATATGTTTTTCTAAAAGAGACAGCGCAGTCAAGTTGTGAAGGAGAACAGATAACCCGAGAAGCCAACACAGGGACTTAGTGGCTCTTTCCAGCTTTAAGATTTTCACTTCTAGGACTAATGGCAAAGCATTATTTCCAAAAAAGAAATTTTTCTAGGTCAGCATTTTCCTTTTTTAAAAAAGACCCTATACAGTTTTATTCTGAAAACATCAACATGCTCTTTCTTCTGACTGTTGATTCACGTTGCCAGGTGAGGGGCTGATAAACATACACTTGCATCATGTTATTTCACAAAATCCTAATATGACCACATTTATTTTAAGTAATGACATACCTTAGTGACATGAAGTGGAAACTGTAACATGGCTACAGCAAAAAAGCAAGGCCCTGACACAAACCCACTGGCTGCACATCCCCTGCCGCAGAGTCTATCCGAAGCTGAGGGGTGCCAGCGCATCTGGGATGGGGCGAGGGGGAAGAAGGCTGCTGGCACCTCCCGAAGCGAGGGGACCCGCTCTGCTCGCAGCCTCCTGGTAAGGGCAACCTCAGCTCCCGGGAGCCAGCGCCCCATCCCCGCCGGTGCTTCGGGGGAGGCTGGAAGTTTGCTGTCCGGCAGAGGGACCTTGGTATCTGCTGGGTCTTTTAAGATAAAAATCAAGCGGATTCTCTAGTTTTTGTTCTTGGCAGGGTGCTGATACGAGAACCTTCAGCTTCAAGATTTTATTTGAGGATTATAAAGATCGAATCACAGCTGGATCGTGCTCATGGAAAAGTGGTTTTGTTCTGCTCAAGTGAAAGCCCAAGGATTAAAAGCTCGATGGGCGAGAGATCAGGATTCACCCGGAATCAGCCCCACCTCACAGACGCCGGCCTGCAGATCCTGGGGAGGAACCGGAGCCCCCCAGACCCCCCACACTACGCTCGCCTCCGCTCCCCGTGCCCCGGGGGGCAAGGGCGGCACAGAACCACGATCCCCCCTCCCCGCCCTCTCCTACCGTCGGCCGACAGAGCCATCTCGATGAGGGTCTCATTCGCTTTCTTCCCCAAGCGGTTCATGGTGGCCGCCTTTCCGCTGCTGCGGCTGGGGAGCGGCCGCGGAGCGGAGCGGTGACTCAGGGCGCGGGGCCGCCTCCTGCATGCGCACTGCCGCGGGGCGGAGCGGAGCGCAGCGGAGCGGGGCGGCTCCGCGCCGAGCCGAGCCGTGCCCCCGGGCGGAAGGGCGGCGGGGCCAGCGCTGTGCTGGCCTCTACGGGACAACCCCAGAAACTGGGCAGAGTGCCTGGGAGCGGCGTGCATGCTGTGTGTGGTATGGGTTCAGCTGTCCCGGCTGGGTCCCCTCCCAAGCTGCTTGTGCACCCACAGGAGCAGGACGCGCCTGGACGCAGCGCAAGCGTTTCTTGCTCAGCCATATCTATACCAGCCCTCTGCTATCAACACTGTTCTTATCACAAACCCAAAACTTAGACCCATAAAAGCTGCTATGAAGAAATGTAACTCTTAACTCAAGAGGCTCCGCTGACAGCTGCTGTCCCTGCTCCTGGAGCTGCTACCATTGCCATGTCTAACAGCCCTAGCTTCTTATTGCTTCCTTCAATCATCTGAGACAGTTTCCAACAATCTTTGTTCAGTATATGTATTTAATACATTTTTTTTCTTCATTAATATAAGCTCAGGCCTTGTTTCAAATGAACTTTTTGTATATTCATCTTCTGTTACCTGAGTAATCATATTACATACCAAACTGACAGGGAGTTTTGTTACTTAGGCAGCTGTAACACAACAGCACATTCATGACCAATAAGAATTAATTGAATGCTTAATAAAAAGTTAATTAAGTCAGTCAGTTGAGTTGCTGGGCTTGTTTTCAGATCTATGTACAGTACTAAGCCTTTATTTGTGCAAAATAACTGCTTCAAGGAGTGTATTTTTAGTCAGGAGCAAGACCTAAAAATCTTGTGTCTGCTTGCTCTCCAAAGCCTAAGATGTTTAGTCGGGGTTTTAATGTCCCAACGCGGGATGGTGGGAACAAAGAGGATGGGCTTGGTGCACCAAAGGGTGCCCTGAAACATCTTGTGACTGCATACAGTGCACCAGATCACTAGGCTCTATTTAAGAGCTGTACTTCTAAGCCTTTAATTTCCTCCTAGCACTACATATCTTGGATAAATGTGTTTATGCCCACAGAAGATGCAATTAGAGTTGCTATTCAACAAGAGCCAGAAACAGCAAGAACTGCCATGGTCATTGCTCAGTTTTCCTCCTAATTGCACGCTCGGTGTTCCCAGCTCCACCCAGCAGCAAACCCAACCATACCTAAAACTGTGTAAGTGCCTCAGCCAGAATGCCAAAGAAGATTGTAATGACCCTTGTAATTGCACAGGCTGATAGTGTGTTGAGCACTGGCTTTGTGCAAATTACACAGTGGCCTGTGGTAGGGGTGGGACAGAAGGATGCTCCTCCAGAATGAGGAATCTGTGGAGGTGCACAGGAGATCTGTGCAATGTCTAGTGTTGAATTTTCTTGCATATACAGAGTTGAACCAGCCATTGTCTGACTCAGTGGTTTCACAGTTTGCCCAAGTGATCTAGGACCACACTTCCTTCCCAAGTGCACACACCTTTTTTCCCTCCCACCTTCCAGTTTCACTCTGAATAAGGAATGCTGATAAAGTGATGCATGACTTATGTCAACATATTGAACCAAATAATCATGTTATTGGTTTGTGTTTTTTGGGGGCTTTCAGTTCTACAAATCACTCCAAGCAACAGGTAAGGCCAAAATAAAGGAAGAGATGGTGAACCACACAATTTTATTCCTATAATATTAATGCAGTAGCCAGATACACCATAATATTTCTGCTTTTGGAGTACTATTTCTAATACAGTGCGCACATAAACCAAAAAGCAATAAAATAAGTAGAAAGCTGTGGGTAAAAGTAGCAAGCCTCACCAAAACTGCTGGCAGTGAATATACTTAGTATATTCAGTGGCAAAGGGTAATCCTTTGTTAGTGCTAAAGGAGAACAGGTAGTTTGTATCTCTTACAAGTCTTCCTTTCCATTGATTGGCCTTTTCCAAACCATGCCTTAGGCCTTCACATTTAAAAAAAAATTAAAATGAAACACAAAATTGGTGGATTGGAGGACAAGATTTAAAAGATATCTCAGTGCCTATTGTTGTCTCAGGTAGACAGCCCAAGGCTGTTCAAAAGAAATCCGAAAATACAACCTGAGATGACAACTTTAAAAATTATACTTAGAAGATTATCTAAAACTTTTGGCACTGAAGCATCTGTGAAAATATAGCCTGAGTTTTTTTGTGAGAGGTAGCAGAATGGATGCCCACGTTCTCCACCAAGAAATTCTCATGGTTTGAAGCTGGCCAAATGCCAGGCACCCATAAAAGTTGCTCGCTTGCCCTTCCCTGCCATAGCTGGGCAGAGGAGAGAAAAAAATTTGATGAAGGCTTCATGAGTTGAGATAGTGGCCAGAAGAAAATACTCCAAGGACAAAACAGCCTCAACTTAGAGGTACAAAGTGCATTTATTATTAACAAAACAGAGGAGGATAATGAGAAGTAAAAGAAGCCCTTAAAACACCTTTTCTTTCCCCCCAGCCCCTGCCTCCTTCTCACCAACAGCACAGGGAGACAGGGCACAGGGGTTTTGGTTGGTTCATCACCAAGGTTTTCTTCCACTGCTCTGGGAGGGGAGTCCTCTCCCTGTGAGGCTGTGGGGTCCCTCCCACAGGAGGTAGTTCTCTATGAATTTCTCTGTCATGGTTCCACTGTCACGGGCAGCAGGCCTGCCACACCTGCTGCAGTGTGAATTCCCTCCACGGGCACACAGTCCTCCCAAAACTGCTGTGGCATGGGTCACTCTTCCACGGGGTGCAGCTCTCCAAGGACAGGCTGCTCCGGCCTGGAAGCAGGGCCCCTCTCTGCACCGGGTCTCCCACTGGATCACAGCCCTGCCCAGGCATCCCCCAGCTCTGGCATGGGCACATCCCCAGGGGCTGGGGGTGGATCTCTGCATCCCCCTGGATCCCCAGGGGCTGGGGGTGGATCTCTGCATCCCCCTGGATCCCCAGGGGCTGGGGGTGGATCCCTGCATCCCCCTGGATCCCCAGGGGCTGCAGGGACACAGCTGCTTCACCATGGTCTCACCACGGCTGCAGAGGAATCTCAGCTCTGGCACCTGCATTACCTCCTCTGCCTCCTTCTCCACTGACCTTGGTGTCTCCATGTTCTTTCCCTCACGTGTTCTCACCTACTTCTCTGGCTAGAAAAACACTGTCCACGCCCCACTTTGTTGTGATTTGCTTCTTAAATATACCATGACAGAGATGTTACCAGCCTCTCTAATTTCCCAGTCTTGGCCAGCAGCATGTCCATCTTCAGAGCCATCAGCCATTGGCTTTGTTGGACACGGTGGAAGCTTCAAGGAGCTTCTCACAGGAGCCACCTCTGTGGCCCCCTGTGCTCCCAAAAGCCAGGCTGTGCAAACCAACACACTTAGGCAATGACATCTGTTAAAGTTTCAACACTATGAAGTGTGTGAGATCACAGGACACCTGCTGTGAGTGGAGGGGGATCAGCCTCTCCTGATGTCAGGCTGCCACACCAGGGCTGCTGTCGGTGTGGAGAGGGAGCAGCCAACTAGGGAGGACTCAGGGATGGATGAGGTACCCTGTGCTCCCTTTACACTCTGAAGTGTGTGAGATCACAGGACAGCTGCTGTGAATGGAGGGGATCAGCCTCTCCTGATGTCAGGCTGCCACACCAGGGCTGCTGTCGGTGTGGAGAGGGAGCAGCCAACTAGGGAGGACTCAGGGATTGATGAGGTACCCTGTGCTCCCTTGGAGCTTGCCACTGCAAGGAAAGAGTGTAATTTGTTGAAAGGGAAAGCCCAAGGGAACTCCCAGCTTGTCAGTGTTTCAGTCTGCGTTCCGCAAACTCTTCCTGCACATTACTCAGTGGCTGTTTGAGATCTGACTCTTGTTTCCCATTACACGCAGCTCCTCAGGAAAACCCAGCTGCTCGAACACCATGGTCAGAGGCTCAGAAACACAGCAAGGCTTGCTGATGGGCATGTGAATTTGTGTATGGAGAGACAGCTGATTCTTTGTGCCCGCTACCGCACAGCCCTAAATCCGTCAGGAAACGGAAAGGGAGTGTCATAAAGAGCTGTGGTGCGACGCGGCAGAGTGCCAACGCTTCTCAAGGGAAGTAAAAACTTTACAAAGTATGCAAAAAGTCATCATTAGTCACCGCATTTTTTCCTACGTCATCACTTTTCAGTCATCTGAAATTGCCGACAGATAGCCATAAACACTTACAGTGTCTAAACAAACAGATGACTTAGATACGTGTTTCTCTTGGCCAGAGTTACTACACACCGACAATAGCAGAAGTAGAACCCAGCGCGCTGAAATTGCCGAATGCAGCGCAGACAGCCATAAACACTTACAGTGTCTAAACAAACAGATGACTTAGATACGTGTTTCTCTTGGCCAGAGTTACTACACACCGACAATAGCAGAAGTAGAACCCAGCGCTCGGTTTGCAGTGTCCGCAGGGGAAGGAAGGCGCAGGGCGCGGTCCCCGGCAGGCCCGGCAGGAGCCGCGCTGAGGCGGCCGCGCTCCGCCCTGAGGGGACAGCGGGGCCTCGGAGGGGCTGCTGGGGAGCTGCAGGCCTGCACGGCAGCCCGGGTCCCCTTTCGGCAGCACGCAGACGTTCTAGTTCTGTAATCTCGCAGTTACGCTCCCTTAACTGGATTGCCCGGTTTACAGCTGCCATCAAAGCCTTCTTAAAGCGATAGTTCAAAGAAACCATCTCACCCTCCACGCCCCAACCCCCTCAACAAAACCCCACAAACCCAACAACGACCAAAAAACCCCAAAACCAAAAGCAAACAACCCTCCAAAAAAACCCCACAACTCTCCCAAAAAACCAAACCCCAAAAACCAAAAACAAACCAACGCACCCAAAACCCAAAAGAACCCCCAAAACAAAACAAATAAAAACAATCAAAACCCACAAACAAACAAACCCCAAACAAACAAGCAATAAACCAAACAAAACCAAAAACCCCAAAACAAACAAAAAACCCCCAACCCTACAAGAAAAAATTGCTTTGGTGTGTTTTGGGGAGTCGAGAGAATGAATGTCTTTCTTGCTGGTAGAGAGATTCTTAAGGGTGCTTGAATA